CTTGAGTCCATCACATTCTTCCTAAAATCAGCAAATATCAACAGATTATAATACTCTGGATATCTTCAACTGGTTGGAACCCAAGAGAGTAAAACTTGATTAACTTTTTCCACTGTTAGAGAATTCAGTTTAAAAATACACACAAAAAAATATATATACCCTGTGCGCGGTACATGCACAGTTATATAAAAACCTGCTATGCTACATGTCTGGGGTCTGTTCCTCCGTAAAAGGGCTGGGACATTCTGAACAGAATCCAGACTGCAGCTTTGTTCTCACCACACGAGCATCAGACAAATCTCTTCCGGATCTTACACCTCGTTTTGGGTCTTAGGGGCTTAATGTTATGGCCTTCCGCTAAAACAGGGCTGTACTGAACCCCTCATTACCTTTAATTGCTGTTTTGATACCAGCTTTGAGAATGAATGCTTGCTAGCTTCATTTGCTATGAAAAAAATCTGCTGGAGGTGAGGATCACTAGCAAGAGAGGTGAACATGGCATTAAAAAGCAGCTAGTGTCGCAAGATGAGCTGAAGGCCCATTCCCTGTTTTGGTTTTTTTATTTAATAGGTCTGGGCTCTTCCATGTACACATCGAGGACTTTTCCTTTACTGATGGAGCGCTCAAGCAATCTTTCCTTACCCAAAACCTAGAGGACATGATGTAGTTTCTTCCAGTGATTTTATTCTAAAGGTAGGACTCCAAAGATAATGTAATGATTTTTTCCACCTTATTTTTGTATTTGGGGTGGAAAAAACAGTACCTGTTAAGAACTACGATAAACCTCCTGTATGTTCTCCTGTGAGACGATTTATATGATGCGCAAAAGCCAGGGTACCAGATATAGATGTGTTTGTGTCCACTACTTTCTGTCCCAGGGTTCCTCACATTAATCTGACAGGTTTTCAGAAGTACATGTACATGTACACTACACAGTAACCCCTTATATGAATAACCTCTTAAGTTTTATACCAGATGTAGTAAATCCCACCTGTTTTCTCACTTAACAGGCAGATTTTCATTCTTACAAGCAGGGCTCTCATAAAGCATTGCCAAGATTCTTCTTTTCGTTCATCTACTCGGATAATGAACTGACTTTATACATTTTTATAACATTTCGTTCTTTTATAATAAAGGCTCTTATGTGTTAAGTGCATACAGTACAGGATAGTACCCAGCGTTTATGAATTGGTTAATCACTGTAACAAAATAACTACTAGAACTGTACTGTACTGTTATTTTTTCATACTTAGTTACCTTTCTGTACTGTATTAATATTAAGTTTGAATGTTTGAGGGACCTTTTTTGAGTTCTGGAAAGTCGCAGACTATAACACTGTATGTAACAGGAATTTAATTTCATTCAATTTCATTTGATTTCATTACACATAATATTGTCATACTTCTACATACTTCTCTGAACAGTATGTAGAAGCACCTTCATAGACCTGCATAGAATTACTGCAGCAATTCTAAGTAAAACACCTGACATTTTAAAGTGTAAGTCTGACACCCAGTGGTGATGACAAAACATTGCATGGCTGACCATGCATCAGCACTACACCCAAGGGAACAAGTACATGAGAAGTGCCTTTGTGGTCTATTTCATGGAAGTGTGTCACAGACACGCTGATCTTCAGGAACTACACATATTTTATTATTTTAAATTATAGAAAGATTTTATGCTTTATGTTGTTGATACTTGGCCCTTTCAGCTGGATGATGTCAACAATGTGCTCTCTATATACTGTACAAGGAGGGAAGATGGAGCTTTCTTACAAATGTTTCCACACCTACAGCTGTTTCTCTCTCTCTCTCCCTCCTGTTGTGCCACATACTGTACAAGAACACAAGAGACTGCAAACCCTTGCCTGGAGTGAGAGGGCTGTATCCTCAGCTGCCCTAAGTACCAGCTTCACTGCCCCTAATTAAGAGGTGTTAATGAGTCACATTTGAGAAAACATAACCAGCCCCATTCATCTGCTCCTGCCAACATGGTACAGAGTATAACTCCAAACAGAGATATGCATTCACACGAAGTGCCGCTGCGTTTATTCAGACTCAGGGAATAAGCTGCTTTTCTGTCACATATGTCATTAAACTGTTCCTGTTTCCTGTGCGAGAGCCTGTTTCTGCCAGCACTGAGACATCAGTAAATGTCCCCATATCAATTCATTAGCTTCAATCAAGACACATTTCTGAGTTTCTCCAATCTACTTCACCAGTAATAAAATTGGGATAATGTTTTTACCCCTGAAATGTATGGAACATTTAGGCTACTGGTGTTGTTACAAGTATTTACAGCTTTCTAGACAATGTCAAATGGAAGAATGGCACCTCTGCTCAATCACATCTGCATACAGACTGACTGAACAGCCTTTTCCTTTCCCAGCCTGTGGTAAGAGCAAAAGCACTGCGTAAGTGAATGTAGGTTAATAAATCGATAATACTCCTATAGCAAAACCTGAATCCATCAGCAAAAAGGCACTGTACTTCACAAACCACCGTAAGCAAACACATATTTATGTGCTGATGGTGATCAGCTCTCAACCTTTGGTACATGTAAAGATTTCTCATTAAATGTACCTGGCATTATTTTCCCGGCTAACATTCATGCACAGGGACCAGACTTCAGATTGTTTCCACAGACAGATAGCCTGGAAACACCAAAGAGAGAGGCACTGCGGAATTTCATACCGCCAAGTCTACCTCACTCCAGAGACACTTGCATTCTGCGTGCACGATAATGGCTCTTCCTTGCTACGGAATGGCAACTGACTTTCTTTCAGGTCTCAATCGGCTCAGAAAGCATAACCGGTATAGCTCATATCTTCCACACGGGAAAGCCAGCACAACAGAAATTCTGACTAAATCAGGCTGGTGAGATCATCTGTAGGCAAAACTAGGGCTGATAAAATGATGTTTCCAGAAGTATCAAAATTAATTTCTTTAGCAATGTACTGATTAGGCTTGATTCAAACTTGAAGCTGAAGAATTTGTGAAGAACTGTGCTGCACCAAGAATGGTTTGCTAACACTACAAATCATGTTTTTCAAAACTCAGCAGTAATGTTTAGAGGCAATTTGCACAGAGAGGGTGGAGAAGACAATAATAGTATTGTTATAGCTACAGATGACTAGAAAGTCTCTCTGAGAGTTGAGATACATTTTAATTGAATCAAAGCTGTGTAACACCTGGCCGTGTAAACACTACCAGCTTCAAAGCAGAAGGGATGTTTGCTGAGGCAGGGGATCCCTGACCAAAAACAAACCAATGTAAAGTTTACCTTGGTTTACCTAGTTACTTAAGTTGTGGGTCAATGGTTGTCAGTGAGCCCTCCAGAAACATTTAATATAAGATCACAGAGAGGAGGTGAAGAGAAGGAAGGGCAGACCACAAGAGAGCGGAGCGAGGAGGGGTTGGAGCTAGAAGCTTGCGCCAGGTAAGAGCCCCGACTTCATGATCATCCAGACAAAACCTGATTGGAGCTAAGCATCTGAACCTTGCTAGAGAGAGCTTGCTTTTCTGTGCTTTAGGAAACTTGGGTTTCCTGAATAAAAGATCCCTTGGTCAAAGACAGCCTTTCGTGCTTAGGGGTGCATTTTTAGAACAGGAAGATAGGCTCCCGGTTATTTTGTGGCATCTGGGTTTGCAGAGAATAAGGCAATTAATTAATTATTAATAAGACAGTTCATCTTATTTTGGTCTCTGTAGGTTTAAGTAGCAGTCTGGGGTGTTTCTGGAACTTCTGGTTTGTACATACTGTACAGTAAGTACAGTAACTTGTGTGTTGTATGTAGTGTAGTGTTTGTATTGTTATCGTTAATAAATATTTGTTTAACCAAGTGCTTAATTACCTGGATTATTACTCTTTTCACCAAAGCTGAATACCAACTTCTTGGGTATATTCTGCAGAAATCACTTACTAGTTGGGGGCTATAAATATTTATTTTATTTATTGACTACACCGCTCAGTCCCCTCCTGTAATTCATCATTTTCGCAACACCCCATTTGTGACATTATTTAATCTTTTTCATTGTAACTCGTAAAATATTTTCATCAACCCTAACAGATACCTGTATCTCTTTTCTCCGTTGTAACATGTCTGCATGGAATACTTTGATGGACAAGTGGACATTTTGTGAAAATGCATTTAAAACTGAGAACAGGAAGTACTTCTTTATTCAAAGAGTTGTATTTCTTCATAGCACCACCCAGTTTTCTGCCAAAATCTCAGACTTGGTGGACTATTGGAAGACAACTGCATCTTTTCTACTATTAACTTCCCCTTAATATTTTGAGATATATTTCCCACTTACAAAGTTACAATAATGATACACATAAAAATGAGTCAAATAAATCTCAATGAAAATGATCCAATATTGCACATCACCTAAAATATTTTCATATATATACTTAAGTAAATCACCACTCCCTGCAGGTGTATCTAGGGATGGAGCCCCCAGATTCTTACTGGAACAGTGAAGCGATTTCGAGTAGGGTCACAGTCCATCACAGATAACCTCAGGTCTAGAAAGCTGACTGTCAACAAGAATGACGTCATTGCACTCTACCACCTCCTGCTCCATGTGTAATACTGAACAAGCAAGTCTGCAACTTGTGACAAATGTGATAGACAGATCTACAACACCTCTTGCATGCCAACCATAGAAGTACAGCATTGTGCAATGAGGACTTGTACAGTAGTTTATTTTCAATCCAATTATATATATTTAATTCCAGTTAATCGTCATACATTGGGAAGAAATAATGATCACGTGTCATGTGAGGAGTGATACTGAAATAATGACCACATGTCGTCTGAGGAGTGATATTGGAATAATGATCACATGGCCAATGAGGAGCATATTGAAATAATGATCATGTGACCTCTGAGGAGTGCACTGACAGGCCTTGGACTCGTTGCTTCCTTTAACTGTGGAATTGCACGGACGCTGAGAGAGAAAAGGAGCGAGACGGAGAGATGGAAGGGTGCTTACTGGGATGGCGAATTCCTCAGCCAGGTACTTGAGCGTGGCTGCCTGCTGCACCAGCAGGTTGCTCCTCTCGGAGAGATTGCCCGGGAGGCTCGTGTCGAATTCCTTCCTAACCACGGAGGCGATGGAGTCCACAATTACCAGGCCCACCTTCTTGGAGATGATGTCCTCCTCCAAGCTCTGCAGCCTAAAAAGAGAGGGCCAAAGGAACAGATTTTCCTCCACAAAATTCTCACACCAGTGGCCACTACTGTCCAAAGGCCAATTCAGCTCACAGATATGTTAAACAACTGAGGTAGAGGAGCAGAGCAACAGTTGGCAAGGGAGTCCCTGAGGGGATTTAAGAAAGACAAAGTACTTTCAAAGCACTGAAATGTCTTTTGGGGGTGGGGGGATGGTGGTGGTGAAAGGATGGCTGGTTACTTCTACCACTAGAAGGGGCCCATATTGTCCAAATGATTAGATTTTTAGGAGTTTTAAAAGACATGGTGGCAGAGCTTAGGGAAGTTAGCTCGAAGACAGTAGCATGAGGGCCTAAAAGAAAAAAGAATTATATAACATAGTAAAATAAATTTACAGAAACTGGGGATCAATGATCCATCCTAGAAAAGAAGTAAAAATATCACCCTGAAACTCAAAACTGGCTGAGCAGGCGTGAGCTGGATGGGAGATCTCCTGGAAAAAACTAAGGTTGGGCTCACCCTGCGGTCTGTGTGGGTCCTAATGTCCAGGCCTACTGTAAAAAAAGGCGCTATCCATCGGATGAGATGAAAAACCAAGGTCCCGACTCTCCATTAAAAATGCCAAGACATTTCTCAAATAGAATAGGTGTTATCCCGACAAATTTCCCATTGGCCTTTAGCTATGATGGCCTCCTAATAATCCCCATCTTTGAATTGGCTTCAACACTGTGTTCTCCTTCCCACTAATAGCTGATGTGTGGTGAGTGCTTGCTGCTGTTGTATCATACAGGTGGATGCTACACATTGGTGGTGGTGGAGGAGAGTCCCCATTACCTGTAAAGAGCTTTGAGTGGAGTGTCCAGAAAAGTGCTATATAAGTATAAGGAATTATTATAATAATTAATTGCCTTTCACTATAATAGGACATGGAAAAACATTTGAACTATTTAAAGGACCTCTTAAAAATATACGACCCTGAGGACAAGAGAAGGAGATTTAAAGACCTACTTGTTGCAGAGGTTCATTAAAAATCTGCTTTAACGTCTAAAACCTTGTTGTTATTTTGCTCTGCTTCAAAACAAAAAGAGTGGAATTACAGGTTCTTGTCCAAGGATTCCTCTATTTCACCTGGCAGCCTCATTCTGGAGTTATGGAATGCAATCCCTAATGAGATTCAAAGTGGTTTGAAAAGCACATTTTTTAAAAACCAAGAATGTGAAAAGGGGAAATTAAAATGCCGCCCCACCCCCACAGATCCAGTCCTGTGTGAAATTTCAGCTCAATTCCATCCTATCCCAGGAAAACACTTTGTCCCATTCTGTTCCAGGATCATATTTCTTCTTCAGTCTTCAATTCATCCTGTTCCGATAACAACTGACTCCTAGTACATCTGATCCCACATTTTTGTACATATTCCTGTCCTGCTTTATTACTGAAACTTAACTCCTTAACTTCATATTTCACATTAATGGAGCAGAAACCACAAAAATACACAATTATTCTTATTAGTTATTAATTGCAAAAAAATCTTATTAAAAATACTTCATTCTAGTGATCTTTCAGCAGCTATGTTAAAAATTACATTCTGATCAACAGAAAATGCAGAATTAACAAAATTCAGATTACTAACTACACAGATACAGAAAGTGCATTCTTGTTATTTCACAGCATACTACAATGGTATACACATTGCATACTTCAGCTTGGACAGGACCTATTAATCTTTAACCATTAAGGAAAAGGTCAGCAACATAGGGTATTAATCCTACTCTTACTCTGTTAGTATAGTTTCTGTCCGCTCCTTACTAAACTCACCAAGCTTGACGTTGAGCTAGCTATTGCTGCTTACCTCGCAGTCCTTGGAAGTGTACTCCTGCCTGATTCAGTTTTGATCAGAGTTGTGCTGTGAGTTTTGATTCTAATGTCTAGGCAGCAACATGCTTATTGTTAAGTGTCCTTATACAGGTACAGAATGCGGTTCTTGGTCCAGTTTTACAACCATTGTGTGCTGTATGTTTGTGGAGTTCCCTCTAATAGCCCTCATGAACATGATTTTGTTATGATCCATTTCCCAAACAAATCTTATAAATTGCATTATACTATATGTTTGTTTTGCTACTTAAACACATTAAGCTTCCAACCTTAAACAGGAAAGCAGAGTTCTCTTGCCCCTTTGGAGGAAAAAGATCAAGAGTATACAGCATATATTCTTGAAAAGCAATATTTTTATTCACTTCAGACATGTACATAAATATTGCTCATGTACAGTATGCACAGTTTTTTAAAATATATTGTACATAATAATACTCCAATATTTCTAAAGGAAAAAGTTGCACATGGCATAGGAGAGAAAAAAATCACCTCCTGAGTCCTCTATTCGCCACCAGAGGACCCCAGAGACGAGAAAACTAGTTCTCTTGCTCTTCCCTGGCAGCCGCGGGAACCTCTCTCAGCACTAACACCTGTTACCTTAATTGAGAGGATTGTATTAAAGGCTCACTGAGGTGTTCGTGCCAGAACCACACCATGAGTCCTCAGCTCAGATGCACCCCTTTCTCTATACCAGAGAAAACAAAGCTTTCAGAGAGCCTTAACGCTTGCCCTAAACCTCCCGATAAAAAGAACCTACAACAGAGGGACTTCACACCTGAACCCGGTGAAAAGCGCAGCCTAAAGCCTACGCAACGTGACAACAGGCTCTGTATCAGTTTGAATAACATGGCTAGGTACGGTAGCTTGTTCCAGACTCCCACCACCCTCTGGGTAAAGAAGTGTGTCCTGTTCTGAAAATTTACTGTAGATCCTACTTGTATCTCCTGGTTCATATTTTACTATTTTTTGTGAAGAGGCCTACTGGGTCAAAGTCCTTGTAGTCCTCTACTGTAGGTCAAATCTGAAAACGTTCAGCTCCCTCAGCCTGTCAATGTAGGACATTCCCTTCAACCCAACTTGTAACATTTGTCTGGATTGATTCCAGAGAAGCAACCTGATAAAACTTAAAACACAATTTTTAATGAGGTCTTGCTAGTACATTGGACAAAAATAATTTCATTTAAATGATACCTCTTTAGCTACTGTATATATCAAAATTATATTTTTTATATATATTTGCTTCCCCATACTGTCTATGAAAATAAAACTTATAATAATAATTGCTTACGCTTATATAGCGCTTTTCTGGACACTCCACTCAAAGCGCTTTACAGGTAATGGGGACTCCCCTCCACCACCACCAATGTGCAGCATCCACCTGGATGATGCGACGGCAGCCATAGTGCGCCAGAACGCTCACCACACATCAGGTATCAGTGGGGAGGAGAGCAGAGTAATGAAGCCAATTCATAGATGGGGATTATTAGGAGGCCATGATTGGTAAGGGCCAATGGGAAATTTGGCCAGGACACCAGGGTTACACCCCTACTCTTTTCGAGAAGTGCCCTGGGATTTTTTATGACCACAGAGAGTCAGGACCTCGGTTTTACGTCTCATCCGAAGGACGGCGCCTGTTCACAGTACAGTGTCCCCGTCACTATACTGGGGCATTAGGACCCACATGGACTGCAGGGTGAGCACCCCCTGCTGGCCCCACTAACACCTCTTCCAGCAGCAACCTTTAGTTTTTCCCAGGAGGTCTCCCATCCAGGTACTGACCAGGCTCACACCTGCTTAGCTTCAGTGGGCTGCCAGTTGTGAGTCGCAGGGTGATATGGCTGCTGGCTTTTTGACTTTGACTTTTTTTTTTACTTTGGAGTTTTATGTGTCAACAAAAACTCCAAAGTCTTTGTTTGCAAGTACTTCAAGTTCTTAATTACAAAATGGGAATGTACATCTACTGTGCTTACATTTTCAATGTTTACATTTACAAAGAAGCTTTCAAGTTTCTAAACGTTATTAGGAACAGCCTGTGGCGGGTTAAACACACATCAGCTCAACATGATGTCGGATGCGACTGCTTCTTTCCTCCCAGGAAAAGGGGGTTTGCCCTAACCTACCTTTTTAACACACTCTGGCAGGTGAGCTCCCGGAACAGGTAAATCCTTTCGGCCATTTCCGAAAGCCGCTCCTGCACACTGAAGTACTGTGGGAAACGATTCAGTGCAATCTCAACCAATCTGCAACACACAAAGGACGTAATGACATGCTTGGCAGTGACTCCCAGGCTACACATATCCAGGACAACAAAATGCCTTGTGAAGGCAAATTATTTCCAGAAACAAAAAAATATTACTGTTTAGCCGCAGTACAGTTTGTTTTTTTCTTTGACATACATTTTTAAAAGACATTTTGGCTTTGACCTGAGCACATGAGTCTGTGATAATACGTCTAAAAAGATACCTCAGGACTGTAGTTGCAACAACAACAACATATGGTACTGAATCATTTCTGTTTAATGACCATAGCGAAGATTACTGCAGTTAAAACCTAAACAGAAATCTTACAAAAGACCTGAGCAAAGATTCTTATTTGATCATTGGTAATCCACTGTAACTTAAAATCACATATTGTGCACAGCTTCTGAAAGTCCAGATGTACTCCCTAATCTGTGGTTATACTGTAGGGATTTCTGTCAGTTTTGAGCTGTACAGCAGGAAAGATCCCCAGAGCAGACCAATGTTGTGGGCATACCATACATCCTGAGTTTTGGGGCGAGGAAAGCATTTTCTTCTGAAGCCTACAGGCCTAAGGGATTGTGATGAAGACCAGACAGACAAAGAAAGTGGGCATCTCCATATGTTATTTCAAATATACTGCACATATATTTGTGCCTTTACAGACACATATAGCTCCCACACTCAGCACAGCTAATTCCCTCTGAAGTGTACTGTCAACTAATTCCCTCTTGAAAAGAGAAGATTACAGGGGGACCTGTTACAAGAATTCAAACTTTCAAATTCAAAACTTTATTACCATAAAACTAGTTGCATGGTATTTGGTAAACAGGTTTTTCCCAAGGCAGGGTCTATCGTGGGAAACTAGAATGAGCATGATGGAGACATTTGAGCTCCACACAGACAGGTTTCCAAAGGCTGCACACAACCCCGGCAACTCTGCATTTGTGAACCATCAGTACTAACCCTGCTGCCCGTCATCAGAATGAATAGTAAAACACTAACCAGAGGACAAAACTGGAAACTGGAAAGAGGCATTTCTTTACCCAGACGGTTGTGGGAGTCTGGAACAAGTTATGCCATGTTGTTGAAGCTGATAATCTGGTTTCTTTCAAGAAACAGCTGGAACAGATACATGGGTCAATTATAGCCTTACATCCAGAGGACTTTACGAGCTGAATGACCTCCTCTTGTTTGTAATCATTTTTATGTAACATACTGTAAATACAGTCTGTACCGAATTTTAATGCCCGAGTGCCGCTTTCATGATATAGGTGTTTGACAAGGCCAGTCTGTGCATTTCTCTTACAGTTCACCTTAGAAAAATCAAACATACAGACAACACATCACATACTGTATAAAGGCAAATCAAAGTCCAAAAGTCTCATTCTCTCCGATACCTTTCAGCAGAGAAGGCGGACTCTGAGTCGATGTACGCCACAGCACTGTCCAGTCCTCCCATCGAGCGCGGCAGAGTGGCCAGCACACTCAGCATCATGCAGAACTGAGTCTTCCCACAGCCAGAGGGGCCGGTCACCTGAAACACAGCGTCTGCCTGCTCAGTGACTTCGCCCTGCTGGGCACAAAACTCATTGGCACATTCTACCAGAATATCATTCGCTCCGGAACGGACAGTTTAATCATCTGTAGAATGTTTTACCATGTAAAACGATGGCTGGTAAAATCTTTCTAAACAGATTTTCTTTTATTTCACAAAGCCTGATAGCACAGCATCTGTGTTATTACAAGCTATGGAACCATTTCCTCACAAAGGCAGAAGTTAAAACACTTTTCGCCTTTTTCATTCTGTTTTGTTTCAGCCTTAAGCATATCTTTCCAAGCTTATAGAGACAGTGCTTTAGTGATTTCTGTTTCCTGAAAATCTGAATTTTCACCTTTCTATATAGGGTGTTGGCAGATAAAATTGCATTGAGGTATGCACACTGTGTTCACTTCATGCTTTAATTATAATTATATGCTTTGACCAAACTTCTCTGCACCATTACTGTACATCCATACACAACCATCTACTAGTAAACCAACTTTAATACTGAATTTGGCATACTTTTATGATCTTACAGTAGTTATATAAAATGGTGCTACTGCAGTGTTAACAGCACCACTGAGAGCTATACCAATCCACAGTGCTATCTGATTGCGTCACGTCAAGGATCTTCCAGACAATGTGTATCCTGGCCAAGAATGTCACTTGTTATTATTATAAACACATTACTATTGCTATTGATTTTAATTGCTACTGTCACTTCAGGAGCAAGGGCAATCTGAGCGTGAACATGCCTTACTTGCATTGTGATCAAGTTTGTTAACATGTAACTGAATAAGCAACAATTATCAGCCACTATGGCAATTATTTTACATTTTACAATAATAATAACATCCAGTTTTCCTATCATACCTTCAGCAATGTGCATATCCATGGTACTGTAAACTGTAACAACCAAATATTGCAATTTGGCAGTTTTCTCAACATATGAAGCTGCACACAAATCTGATACCATTCTGCTTGATGAAATATTGCAGGAATGACATCGTACATACACTGTATGCAGGTTATAATGGTTTGTACTATTAATTCTTGTTAAGGAACTGTACTGTATATTATCATTAATAAATATTTATAATTCCTTACACTTACATAGCACTTTTCTAGACACTCCACTCAAAGCGTTTTACAGGCAATGGGGACTCCCCTCCACCACCACCTATATGCAGCCCCACCTGGATGATGCGACAGCAGCCATAATGCGCCAGAACGCTCACCACACATCAGCTATCAGTGGGGAGGAGAATAGAGTGATGAAGCAAATTCATAGATGGGGATTATTAGGAGGCCATGATTGGTAAAGGCAAATGTGAAATTTAGCCAGGACAAATAACACCCCTGCCCTTTTCGAGAAAAACCCCAAGGATTGTTAATGACCACAGAGAGTCAGGACCTCAGTTTTATGTCTCATCCAAAGGACGGCATCCACAGAGACCATGGCTGTGGCCGGGTCAGCGCTCTCTACTGGTTCCACTAACACCTCTTTCAGCAGCAACCTTAGTTTTTCCCAGGAGGTCTCCCATCCAGGTTCTGACCAGGCTCACACCTGCTGAGCTTCAGTGGGCTGCCAGCTGTGAGCTGCAGGGTGATTAACTTGACATCGTTTTTAAAGCTTCTATTTCGCCATCTCAAAGGTAGCTCTTTGTAATTCAGGTAAGTCAGGTTGCATGAAAAGTGGACTGGCAAAGGTGTTTTGCAGCTGCTGATCAGTTAATTTGGCAGCATGATTTAGACCCCTCCATCAGCTTTCTTGCACCCTTCACAGGACTTTCAGCAGAAAAGTAACTCAGGCCCCTTCTAGAGCCTGCAAGACTCTATGACAACCCCATGTGTAATGCTAACAGATGGAAGGATTATGTCGGATTCTGGGGACAGTTTTCTAAACAAACAAATAGGTATTGCACTGATTATTTATTGTCCTGCTTTTCCCATCAGAATTGGAATTTTGATGTATTTGGACTGGCAACCTGGTTGAATTTTCGTTCTGATTTCTTTAACTCTGGTCTGGCTTTGTCTAGAAACAATGCAGCACTCACAAAATGGCAGTGGGGACATTTTCACCACAGTTCACCCATTAAGCCTTTTCAAAAACCTCAGTTTGAGCATTTCCGCCTTTTTAAAGATTAATAAAGTAAAATGTATTTTATTGAAGTTAATATAACATTTTGTGCAAATATTGCTTTTGTATTTTTAAAGAGTGGACTACCTTTTTGTGCAACCCTTTCAGGAGCACAGTATTTTTTAGAAACGCATTCTGTATACAAATACACTGTAAATGTAAACAATGTGCAGGTGAAATTTACAGTCAGGTTTTGAACATAATATCCACCAGCATTAACCACAATGTAGTAAAGGTGTCATTAAGGATCATCAAATGAGCTGTGATAATGAAAGCACAGTGCACAGTGTCATGTGTTTATATTCCATATTCTACCTTCTCTATTGTGGGGGTGGTGAAGTCCTTCTCCTTGAATTTCTGGCACACTTAAAGAACTCAGCTTTCCTTCCTCTCAAATGGCAGTGCATTAGTGCTGTTGATCCTTTGCCAGTACAATGAGCCACATTCATTAAGATGAAACATTTATTCTGTCTTTAGATTTTCTCACTCTGATCAGAGCGACGGCAACAGCACTTTCAATTAAAGTTGTCCGTAACATAGAGTACTAACATGAGCTAATAAGCAAGATGAATCCATTTTTTTCAATTAAACTTCAATTTAATGGAAATTAAAATAAAATGAGAACTTTATTGAGGGAGAAAAAAAGTGCTGCACTTTTGGAAGTGGTCCTGTCAGTGATTAAAAACTAATCTTCAGCATTTATGGCACAGCTGATAGACTCCTTGGCCCGAGAAACAATCCTGCAGGACGTCTGCCTACATGACAATGAGTGAGAAGTAATAATTGAGACTCATTCCTCCTCTGGGTGCTGTGGGTAAGACATTGAAGTAGAGGACAGAGTACACATGTGACCGCAGGTAAGAGTCCCGTTCCCCCCAGCCTCTCAGAACCCGCTGAAGCAGTGCGGCCCGGTTCTTACCTCGGTCAGAGTTCCACAGGCCAGGCCCCCGTTCAGGACCCGGTCCAGCCCCCGCAGGGAAGTGGGAAAATAGGAGCGGGAGCGCCGGTCCCTCAGCTCTAAGGCCTGTGGGAAAAGAAGAGTGAAACAGAACAGACAGTCGCCTTGCCACCTTGCGAGAAGCAGCCCTGGAATTACTCCCCTTATGTCCTCAGTTAGTTTCTTAGCTTCTGCTAGAACTTTGAGACCTATAGGCTTCCATTCTCTCCTCAGAAGCATCTAAAAACCACCCTTAAACTTGCTTTCAATTTGTGTACATTTATCTCAATCTGTCAACACCTTTTTGACAGCTTGGTTATTACATTACAACCATCAGTCATTGTCTTCACACAAATCTAACATCTTTTATTTACTTGGCATCGACAGACGGACACCTCTCTTAAGTTTCCCAAGACACAAACACATCTTTCCTGGCTTCTGTTTCTAGTATTAGTTCAATCATGTCTATGCCATGAAGCCAAATTAACCTCCTTGTGCACAGTAATCACTGTTAACTCAGTTCGCCCGTCTGAATATTTAGCATGAAGTACTAGTCAGTTGAGGCTGATCTCCTTATTCAAGGTGCTTTTGAACTAAAGGCTATGCAGTGTTAAAACAGCACTAAACAGTGCTGTTGTGAAGAATATGTGCAGAAGTGCAGTTTGCAGAGGAGTGTGTACATTTTCACTTCCACTAAAGGCAGGTTGACAAGAAAGGCACTGTGGCTAAGGATCTGCACCTGTGGCTGGAAGGTTGCCGGTTCAAATCTCACGGCCGGCAGAGGAATCCTACTCTGATGGGCCCCTGTGCAAGGCCCTAAACCCCTACTGCTCCAGAGGCGCCGTATAAATGGCTGACTCTGCGCTCTGACCCCTGTGTGCCTGTGTGTCTCATGGAGAGCAAGCTGGGGTATGTGAAAAGACAAATTCCTAATGCAAGAAATTGTACATGGCTAATAAAGTGATCTAACCTAAGAGGAATGCGTGTTTAACAGCCTCTGTATCACAATGAGCCCATTTGCAAAATATCTTCTTTTTTCTCTCATATCCATTCAGTTTTTAATTGGAGCAGTAAAGAGGACTAAGGAAATTAAGGCATACTGACAACTGACTGCTTAGTTTTAATGTTCTGGCATCCATGAAGACTTGTATAACTATGTGATGAAAAAGCTAACAGTCCCAATTTATTTGAAAACTTGTAGTCGGTGTCTGGAGTGCTTTAACTGGAAGAGGCAGATCTACTGGAGGTGAAACAACTGAAAGAGCACCACTGGGCAGCCTTGGTGGGGCAAGAGAAGCCTGGCAAAATCTGGCACGCTTACCGTGGTCATTTTTGGGGCGCACCCTTGGCTGACGGTGCGGAGGAGCTTTTGAACTTGCTGGTAACTCTGCCCGGCCATTCTCATTAGCTCCAGTGGAGTGAGAGACAGAAAGTCCTGCCAACAGAACGATAAAGCCAGAAATCCCTGTTTTCCTAAAGAAATTCAAAACCACAGTAGTAGGAAGACAACGTACTGCATAGGGCAAAGTAAACTTCAATGAACGTGTTAAGTGAAACCGCTTTTGAATATATGACTCAGTTTTAAAAAGGTGAAACGTATCTTGCGGCAAAGTAAAAAATGTTGACCCTTTTCTCTCCTTAGCTTTCAAAATCAAAGGGCTTTTGAGGGAAAAACTCTGGTTTTTCAAGCCCATCAGCATCTCCTATAAGACACCGTGCAGCACAGTAGGGTCTCAACCTTCACAAGGGCTCAGTGTAGAGAGCCATTACAAAACCAAATTACCATATAAACAAAACTATCCCTATACCATTGCATAATGTATTACCGTATGTAGTGTGTACAGTATGATTAAAATCATAGACATAATTAAGTATGCCTTTTAACCATCCCTTTTATTTTCAGTATTATTAAGTAACAAAGTAAACCTCTTTTACATGATAATTAAAGTACTAGTGCATTGGCTTTAAGTTAATCCAAATAACACTGATCAAATAAACAAACGACAGTAATCAGCTAAAATAAACACCATGAGTCCCTCCTCTGTGTCCAGTGGATGCCTGGACTTTTTCTATCTGCCTGTGTCATTAGCCACAGCGCCAGCACAGGACAGGGAGTGTTCGTTACAATAGAAAAACAAAACCAAACTGAGATGCACCTGTTGGGTAGGGGATGCTTTGCCAGGGGATAGAGAAAGGCTCACTCACTCGCTAGATTCGTCTCAGGAACCTAATCTGTTGCGGGTCTCATTAGAAAGTTGCTCTTTACAACCTGCGTCTCGGTTTCATCTCGCTCTGCTTTTCTTTAATCCATGGCCCCGCTGGACAGACCGCATCACGAATAAAAGAATTCGAGAATGTTTTGTCAATTTGCAGATGTCAAGACCCTACTGTACTCTGAAAGGAGCAAGCTGTATACTCTCCGAACACTTAAACACGCTTTATGTATAGAGGAAAGAATGGGAACTTTAGGGGGAAAGAGAGGCACGTTTTTTAAAGTGGATTTTAAGTGAAACGTGAATGCTTAGACTGAACACTTTTATGGGTGAAATAAATCAAGTATCGCCAAAAGCTACAAAGAAAAATCAAAACCTAAAGTATGCTAATTACATAAGTATTCACCTCCTTATAAAAACCAACAAAACGTTCAGCTGTACAAAGCGACTTTGGCTAATTACAGTATTAGTTGAATATAACGGTGTGCATTTATACTGGTTTACATGATTTCAGAATAAATATAATACACCTATTTCTGTTAGGTCCTCCAGTAAGGGTTGGAATTTCAAGGAAAGATTCAACGATGAATGCCAAGGAGTTTTCAGAACAACGCAGCTGTGTCATTTAGATATGTCCACGTTACTGATAGAAATATCGGCACAATAACGACTCACAACCTCCGTCACAGTTATTCGGTGACAGACAATCATGAGTAGCAGTCAGGACTTTCCCAATTTCCTGTAATACGATACGAGTGCCTCGTCCTATTTGCTCCGCTATACGCTCGTTTTGTTAAATGTACATTTATATCAAAGTTTGATCATCCCTGATATTCTTAAGAGTCGTCTTTATTTTCCCAACAAATTCAGTGACGCTGTAAGGAAGGCATCACTCTTGCAACTTGTAACGTGAGCTGCATTTCTATTTTCCGGAATTACTGTAAATGAATGCAGAAAATTGCGTTATAAACCCCACAGAAAAATGTACCCATTAAGAAAAATGTACCCATTAATTTAACAGATTGAATGAATAAGACCTACATCTACCTCAGGTATGCCTTATAAAAACATTGTTCACTCAATCTTATTTAACAAAACTGGAATACAGCGGAACTAGAAAACCAACTCATCAGCGACTAATCAGAGCAGTGACTGTAAACTTAACCCACTCGTGAAAGTTTTACACTTTTCTTACCTGACACGTTTCAATTTGGTGGCGGCTGAGTCTGTTGCATAACTCAGCTGGTAAACCAGTCCTTCTTAATTTTTTATTAGCCATGCTTTCCTAAAGTTTGAATGCGAAAAAAGCTGCAATACAATTCTGTGGATCACCAAAAAATGATGCACAGAATTTGTCCACCGATTATAGTAACGTGATAGGAAAAGCAAAAATAATTATAATAAATAGGCAATTTACAGTTGTTTCTCAACAAATTCGGCTGTATTTAACAATTTCTTTATAACATCACAAAAAAAAAACCACTTTCTTCTGAACCATGAGAACTTCCCTGTCGCTTCCGCTTAAAAGAGGCGATTGGTCCCTCACTGAAAGTTACGTGAGGTAACCCTCCAATCAGAGCATACGTCAGTGACATTTGTCGCCGTGCATCTTGTTAATTGTAGTTTTTTATGTTTATTTGACGGTATATAAATGTTACTTTTCTTAAATAGACTAAATGGGGTCTTAAGTTTACAGTCACTACTCTGACTTCGGAATTAATCCTCCGACATCGCAGTCGGTTTTATTCCTGATTCCGATGTATTCCAGCTTTTAGATTAAATGAATAATTTGTTTTTAAAAGGTATACTTGGGGTAGGTCTACTGTACGTCCTATCGATAGATCTATGTGAACAATTCCGCAATGGAGTTGATGGCTAAACTGTTTAGGTTCTTCGTTTTCTAGTTGGAATTTTCTTCATTCATTCTCCGTTACATTGTGAATTACTATATCTGTTAATATTCATTGTTTACCACTAGGTGGTGATGTAAAGCCAAAAGAAATTGTAACACTGTCGGCGATCTTTTTATTCCTTGCTTGAAATTCTGGAAAGAAATCCAGGGTACAACATATTTGTCTTTGATGCAAAAACCTTTCTTTCGAGTCCAGAACCTTTCTTATTGTTTTGGTTTTCAAAAGGCATTGGAAAATTTGCTTTACAGTTGTTCACCCCGACCAAGACAACTTGTACGTTATTTTCTATGACGGGTATTGGCAACACAGTGTGTGACATTCATTAACACACACACTTGTATTTCCTACGCCCTCCTGACAAGGAACCGGTGCTGGTGGAGCTGCAGAAATCACAAATTTGAACCCCCCTTCTAAAGTTAGGTCACCAGGGATATTTACAGCAAGCCACAGGGAAGCAATTGATTCAGTCAACATGGTAGATAGGTATAGTATAGACTGCAGTACCAGTATTTACTGTAGTAAACTGAAAAATGTGTTCACATAAAATGTTAGGTCTAGTCTATTCAGATCCATCCCACTCATGCCCATCACCTGAGTGGCATCCAGCCTGACCTCTAGACTTTGCTCTGAGTGGTGAGCCCATAATACAGCTTGTGGGCCAGGGGCTCTGCAGCAAACAGCACCCCCATGCCTGGCCAAACAAGGGTTGGTTCCCGTTGTCCTTGATCTGGGAAGAGTTCTCCCTGTGAGAGGGTAAGGAGCTGCTCCTGTGGATCGAGAGGAGCCAGTTGAGGTGGTTTGAGCATCTGGTGAGGATATTCCCCAAGTGTCCCGTCGCTGGAAGTGTAATGCGCGAGGCCCAGTGGGAGAAGACCCCAGGATACACTGGAAGGATTATATCTGTGAACTGCCCTGGGGGCACCTGGAAAAATAATAATAATGATAATAATTGCTTACACTTATATAGTACTTTTCTGGACATTCCACTCAAAGAGCTTTACAGGTAATGGGGACTCCCTTCCACCACCACCAGTGTGCATCACCCACCTGGATGTTGTGACAGCAGCCATAGTATGCCAGGATGCTCACCACACATCAGCTATCAGTGGGGAGGAGAGCAGAGTAATGAAGCCAATTCATAGATAGGGATTATTAGGAGGATATGATTGGTAAGGTAAATTGGCCAGGACGCTGGGGTTATACCCCTAATCTTTTCAAGAATTGCCCTGGGATTTTTAATGACCACAGAGTCAGGACTTTGGTTTTATGTCTCATCCGAAGGACGGCGCCTTTTTACAGTATAGTGTCCCCTTCACTATACTGGGGCATTAGAACCCACACATGAGTGCCCCCTGCAGGCCCCACTAACACCTCTTACAGCAAGAGCCGTAGCTTTCCCAGGAGTCTCCCATCCAGGTACTGACCAGGCTCACACCTGCTGAGCTTCAGTGGGTTGTGAGTTGTGAGTTTCATGACTGCTGGCTATAAAAAAACACCCAGGAAGAGCTAGACACTGATCAGTGTTATTTGGATTAACTTAAAGCCAATGCACTAGTACTTTAATTATCATGTAAAGGAGGTTTACTTTGTTACTTAGTAATACTGAAAATAAAAGGGATGGTTAAAAGGCATACTTAATTATGTCTATGATTTTAATCATACTGTACACACTACATACGGTAATACATTATGCAATGGTATAGGGATAGTTTTGTTTATATGGTAATTTGGTTTTGTAATGGCTCTCTACACTGAGCCCTTGTGAAGGTTGAGACCCTACTGTGCTGTACGGTGTCTTATAGGAGATGCTGATGGGCTTGAAAAGCCAGAGTTTTTCCCTCAAAAGCCCTTTGATTTTGAAAGCTAAGGAGAGAAAAGGGTCAACATTTTTTACTTAAGATAAGTTTCACCTTTTTAAATCTGAGTCATATATTCAAAAGCGGTTTCACTAAACACGTTCATTGAAGATAAAATATGTTAATCAGTGCTAATGATATTAACTGGAATGGACAGTTAAATGTAAACACTGAAATGTAAATAGAAAACAGGGCCCAACCTGCACTCTGAGAAGTGTAACCATTTGTAGCAGGTTGAGTCTCTCTGGAGCCCTCTATTTTTTATGTTTAGATGGTAGCTTCCCTGGCTGGGAAATGTTATGTCCATGGTACTAGGGGTAACATCAGAGTTGTGATTACAGTACGGACATCAGTACCTGCACAAGGACGTTCATTGTACTTGCACAATTGGAAATTTAAATGTAATAGCTTTCAAAAAATGTTTCTGACGGGGATAATAATTCTATAAAATTTACAGTATACAATTTTCTTTGGGAGGAAGTCTCTCATCTTCAGCAACAGCAGGAGGTCACCCCAAGGCTGTGAGCTGTCCCCATTGCTTTACACATTGTGCAGTAGTGACTGTCAGCCACAATGACAACTCTTCTATTGTTAAAGTTTGCAGATTATGTTGCCTTGATTGAGCTTTTGAATGACGATGAAAACAATTACAGACAGGAGCTAAATCTTTTTTTTTTAAATTGCTGTCACGATAATTCACTGTTTTTAAACAAAAACAAAACACAGGAAATGATAGTTGATTTTAGAAAGAAAGAATTAACACTTGAAACAAAGGGTAAAGGGAAAGGAGTTTCTAAAGATGTATGTTTCTTTACAAAAATAGCAGCTTTATCTAAAAGTTCCTTCCCATCTTTTAAGTATTTTGGGGAATAATTAGAAGGGGGGATAAATAAAGGAAATTCCAACATGTTTCAGAATGCAAACTACAAGGAACTGGAATGTTTACGTTATCCTCAGATGTATAATTTTTTGGTTCAAGTAAATTAAAAGCAAAATCAGGGGGAAACACCTATGCAATTGTAGAAAATATTTTGTGAATTAAAAATAACACACAGTGCAGAACAAAAGGAATATGTATACATTATTTATTAACAAAATGAAAAAAATGTCTCAGAGGTGTTAGCCACAACACTTAAATATCTGCAAATTTCATGAAAGAATGCAGATTACAAGAGCTTGTCAGAAAAAAAGGAACTTACTGTTAATGTCAGTTAAAATTAAAGAGTGGTACTTTTTGTGGTTTAAGAGATCTTCATTGCGAGTCTTTCCTCGGAACGAAATACCTGTACTGTAGATGGACTGTTTAAGGAAGGCCTAACAGAGATCCTCAGAAAAACAGTTTTCTGAAGACATAAACATGTGAGAATTGTTGCTCACATAACCCTGAACTGCCAAACCACTCACTGTAAGCGTGACTAATGACTTATGGGAAGTTCAGATACATTTAAAAAATCAGCTTACCGATCAACCTTCTGCATATACAACATTGCATATTTTGCATATTGAGATAAGTGCATAACTTTTAAAGTACCAAAAAGGATAGGGATAGAAATAGAAATATAAAGGGATAGAAATATAAAGGATATATTTCTCAAAATCCTCTGTGTTTGTCAGACTAACAGGTTCGTGATAATGGATTCCATATATCTACCATTTTACAAAAGCCCAGATTAAATACAAATTTGTGTCTATTCACTTATTGCAAATTCTAAAATGAATGGGACATTTTTGCGTGCTGAAGACCGTTTTTGTCTTTCCAGGATTCAGTCTAAAATTTGTAACTAGGAAGATGATCTGACTTTGATGTTATTGATGTTTGTTGTAGTTTGTGCTGACAAACAGAACATCATTTTGACATAGATTTCCTTTCACATTCTATTTGCCGATTTATTTTACCCAGACATGAATTACTCCGTACAAATATAAGTAGAAGTTTTCCAGAGGGATAGAAAACATCTAAGAAGAACCACATGGACACTACACACCTCTGTACAATAGTGTTTGCAACCATACGTAGAAATGTATTTGCCTTTGAGCTCCAAACACATTCTGCAATCTACAGTATGTCAGTGAGGTCAGTAAACCTGATTTGAACACAGGCTTATAAATAGCAGTAATACTGTTGTCTGTAGTGTAAAATAAACCATAAACTGCAGTTCTTGTGTCATCTGGGAATGCAAAGAGGCTGCTAGATTGGTTCTACTGATTATTCCCCTCCCCCAGGAGTCATTATAATGGAGGTTTAAAGCAGAGTCTACAACACCCTGTTACTCCATATACCGTTAAACACATTCATGCTGAGACTGCAACGAGTATACTGAGCAGATCCGTCCAGCCATTTTCTAACCAATTCTCAAACACAGGTTCTCTGGGAAACTGGAGCTTATCCTGACAGACAACGGGCGCAAGACAGTGTACACCCACCCTGGACAGGAAACCAGTCCATTACAGGGCACACACAGACACAAACCCACACAGTCACACAAGAGCCAATGTTCCCAGAAAGGGAAATATAAAAACCCCATACAGATAGCACCTCAGGAATTGAACCTAGGGCCCCAGCACTGCTAACCACTGCACCATTGGGCCATCCTACGGAATAGATTCTGATTTAAAACACCTACTTAACTGTACAAACCCAGCAATGATTGACAACTGGCTTGGTACAGAGTGTTCTCATCTTAAACCTCTTCTGTCAATAAAAGTGTGTGAATTCAGAAAACCTGTGCCGTTTTTCTGAAAAGATTAAAAATACCTTTATCTTGTTTATGCCAGTACCAAAAAATTCAGTTTTTTTCCCATATATAATCCTAAGCATAGTACTGTGAATTTGATTGATTTCCTTAAAGTAACAGTAAATATACTTTTATCATCAATTAACAAAGCCAAGTCTTCATTTTCTAATGTACTGTATATGAAAGAATTATACATATATTTTTAAAGGAAGATACAATTTCTTAGGAAGTTTCTTATACAAAAGCTTCTTTCTGTAGGTTTCAGAGCTCCTCTATGGAAGATTCGTATTTCAAATTAAATTCTACATGCAAACATACGCCAAATTCTGTAATAACTCTTTGTGATTTTACATACAGTATACTGTAGTAACATCTTTGAACTTGAAGGCTGCTATGATATTCACCCCCATATCTTTTTCATGTTAAGATACAATACAAAAACAAATTCTTATTGCCTCATAACAGCAGGAACATCTTTATGCTGTTTTACATATGTGGCCTTTTTTATGTCATCGAATATCATAAACTATTAAACTGGAACATAATTCAACAAACAAGGTAAAATATGTCCATACCCTATTTTCAAAGGGAGAAAAAATATACAAAACCTATTTTAGCTTTATCAGTGCCAGTATTCACATTCTTATATTTAAAAGGTTAATATTTCAGTGTGAAAATGAATTCTGAACTTCTGTAAATTAGGAAAACATGGTTTGTTCACAAAAATAAATATGTAAAAAGAAATAACTTACAAATTCTGTATTCCTACATTTTATTGTAATTAGAATGTTGATTTTGGGTGTCTTCCTACAATGGCAATACATTGTAAAAATATTCATAATTTAAAAATTAGTGTGCTGCTCTTTAGGTCTAGCAGTCTGAGTAGGTATGTTCCACAGCAGAGCCACAACTGTTTAGTAGACCAGAGGTTATCCTGCTTTTTGAGAGAACACCAACTACACAAAACCAAGCTACTATCACAAAAAGACTCCACAGGGCCTAGCCTGCATTAGTGTAAAAACACCTCTCACTGCTGATACTAAGCCCTATGCCCTCCTCTTGTCACACATCAGACAATGTGTGTTCTTATTTGTTAGTTCTAGGTTCTAGGACCTTGTATGGTTCTTATAAAGATAAAACAGACTTGTGTCTATGGAATACCACAGATTAAACACAGAGAATTACAATGCAACACTTCGTTTGTTTTGGCAATAAGACGTCCAGTTGTTTGGATTTTCTTTTTAAAGTTCATTGCCAATTTATAAGTTCATGTCCCTGCAGTATTGTGCCTTCCAAGAAAATCTATATACTGTACCTTATTTAAGTTATTTTTTATCTTACTTACAAACATGCTAAAATAATGGAGGGCTTTGTTAATGCCCTCATTGAGGTAACAGCATGAGAACCACACACTCTAATCACTTAATAAAATAACAGAGACTGTATCCAGACAGTATCTACTGGCTGCCCGAGGGAACTGAATCCTTTCAGCCCTGAACAGAGAAGATTACAAGGGCACCTGATACAAGAATTCAAAGCCCTCAGAAGGCGTCGGCAAAGCCAGCCCAGCTAGGAGTTCTTCCTAATGAACAGTGAACCAGAGGGGACAAGTGGTAACTACATGGAAGTACATTTGAAACCCAGAACAGGAGGCACTTCTTTACCAAGAGGGTTGCAGGAGTCTGGAACAAGCTATCCAGCCATGTTGTTTAAGACAGTACTCTGGCTTCTTTCATGAAATGGCTGAAAAGTGACTCAAATTAGTTGGTTATAAACTACTAGCTGGCCGAATTGCCTCCTCTTCTGTTGTGCCCTTTCTTATTCTCTGAGGACTGTCTGCAGAAATGCTGGAAGGATATGCAGTATTGAAGGTACTTCAGAATCCCAGTACTACAGCTACTCTTACTCTGGAGAATTATTGAGTAGGCAAGCCATTGAACCTTACTGTAACTAGGGTGAAATATTGTTTATGGACAGCACAGTACCCTTCTGTTTGTTGGGTTGCTTTTCTGTATGTTTACTTGTACAGTATGTTTATTATATTAGTAGTACCAGAATTTGTATGTGCTATATAAAAGCTCCTTAACTGATTAGGATTTTGGGACACATTCCTGGTAGACGAATTCTAGAGGCATGCAGTATGTTTTTCATTTGGCTTGCCTTTTTCTCAGAAAAGAACTGGGTTTCTTTTTCACACCCCCAATGTCCGCCAACATTTGTGTGCCACCTTTACAATAGTTAAATGCACATATTATTCATGTCAGTCTTGGTATTTTATTCTAATTCTTTTACCTTTTGTAGACACAATTTTAAACATATCCTTAATAAGAAAAGAATAAAGCTTTCTTTGTTTTTCAATACAGCAAACACTACAAATAAATATTAAATTTAAATTGATTTATTGTTCTGGTTAGTTGGGCTAGCAGGTAGGTTTTTTTGTCAAATTTTATATCTAAAACTACAGATAAAATGCATTAGAGCCTTCATGTACATTTTAACATCCTACAGTATAAAACAGATATACGTTTGGGAGACACCAGTGCTTTTTTAATGTTTCATGCATTTTAAAATATTAAAATTGTCTTTGAAGTATAAAAAGAGTTTTTGCATGACACATTATTCAAGGTATACACATTGCTTCCAGAGAGATTTTAATACTCTAGTTGAATCTGTACTGTATATATACTGATAGCATTAAGCTCAAATAAGAAATTATTTACAAAATAAAAACATTAAAAGGCAACCTTCATTATTTTATAAGGTACAATATCTCTGTGGTTACTGAAATGGTTTAATCTCATGTTCCTTTACTGGCATTACCTTAAAATGTTTTTATAAGTTCCTTTAAATATTTTAAAAATGCATATTATTCATAAATATTTCATTTTCCTAACAAATTAAAATGTTAAAGTTTTCATTCATATTTATTAAAGACATTTAGCGCCAAGTTCATTCTCATATTAGCTGATCAAAGGGCAGCAGAATTATGATTATGATTGCCGTCCAACATGACCTACAAAATGTTCCTTCACGTTATCCATTTCTTACTTTGGTTCAAACTGATACAGACTGGCTCGTTGATGTGAAAAAGACAAAAAGAACCCTTGGTGTGAAATGGCATGTGGCCTCAAACGAGCCGTTTTTTTGTGTTTGTTAGCATTGTTTCCAATTTTATCCACCCCTAAGCCAAGGCAGAGAGCATGTATCTTCTTAGTCAATCTTGACATAGCCATTGGCCGTCCCCCCAGTTGCCATGGCGGCACTGGGGTCGGCCTTCTCGTCGAAGCGAAGCCTGAGGGTGTTCCTGATGACCAGCTGCTCCACAATGAAGGAAGCACAGAACCAGGGCAGAGAGTATTCCAGCGTGATGAGCCCCATGAAGTCATAGTCGAAATCCGAGTAGTCCCAGGGGCAGGCGTTGAACTGGCGTAGGAGCAGGCCCGTGGTGAACTCCCACATGTACGTCCACAGGGTGTAGATGAGGCAGCGCACCAGGATGTGGCACCGGTCCTTCAGACATAGGTACATGCGCTCCACGATGAGGATAGAGGTGCCGTAGATGAACAAGGCCCACACACTGGTCACGCCGGGGAACTTCCAATTGTAGTTGACCACAAACTCCCAGGCGGCGGTGAACATCACCTCGCAGAAATAACCATGGATGGCGTAGAGGTACCAACGTGAGAGGGCTGTCAGGGGCTCCGGGACTGCCATCTTCCAGGATTGGCCAAGGCCAACCTTGGGGGTGAGGGGGAGGGGCTGGGGGAAAAAGGGAGAGAGGGAAGAGTGGGGTAGCTAAACAAAAGACAAGGGAGAGAAAACCTCTGGATTACCACAAGGGGCAAAGTTTTTTCCACCTGCTTCATACATGAACAGTAGGAAAGCTCCATTTCTCAACCTGCTGCGCAAAAGACATAAGTTAAAGGAATACACTGTAAACACACATTCCTAGGTGTTTGTAAACTGTTTAACTTCAAGGTTTGAAGAACAAGGTGATACTGACCATTAGCTGAACAGATGGGCAGGTGAACTGGTCAATTTATGTTGGTTATCTCGGCTGAACAGCATGAAGAAGCATGAGATGTTTGAGCTTCAAGAGTATTAACTACATTATTACAGGGTGGTTCCAAAGGGTTTTGCGCCAAAGCAGAGGTTGCATTTAATTTGCTGGATGCGTGAAGGTGTCATTTTAATGTAGTTCTGAGATTGAATGGATGTCTGTTTTGAGGAAAGAATGAGCAAATGTTGCACTGAAACAAAAATGCTTGAAAGATGTTTTATTTCTGGGAATGTGCTACAAACAAACTGGGTTAAAAAAAAACAAGCATTTAACAAGTTTGATTATGATGAATAACTTATCATCCAGCTCAGCAGGCCATGGATTTAGTGGCTTTATGTCCTTTGTTCTGTTTTGCATTATATTTCAGACTCTGTTCTCAAGCCCTCTGAATCTTAAAAACTCTCAGGAAAAAAAATGAAAGTAATGCTGAGCTCAGTAAAATCTATTGTACTTCCCTTAGCATTTCAAGAGCTGCTGCAGTGCAATGTTATTAAAAACCCAAAACTTCAACAGGCTTTTAAACAGGAGCACTCTTACAATAAAAGCCAGTGTCTTGGTTTCATTGTAACTGATGCTGGTAATGCAAGCAGATTATATGCATGTGTTTGAGAAGGCTGCCAAAGTAGAGTGGATTCAGGAAGTTATGTCAAAATGATACACAGTATACGGTAAAAGATATCCCTAGTGGGTATTTACAAAGGCCATCCATCCATTTTCTAACTGCTTTATCCAATACTGTCGCAGTGGAGCCACAGCCCATCCTGGCAAAGCAATAGGCGCAAGACAGGATACACCCTGGATGGGACATCAGTCCATCGCAGGACACACACTGACACAGACACACAAACACACTCATACCAGGGCTCATTTTTCCCAGAAGGCAATTAACCTACCAGGATGTCTTTGGACTCTGGGAGGAAACTGGAGCACCTGGGGGAAAACCCACACTAAAACACAGGCAGACCATTCAAACTCTACACAGACAGCACCCCAGGAACAGAACTCAGGATGCCAGCACTGCAAGGAAGCAATGCCGCCCACTTATAAAGGCCTTAAAGACACAAATGATTCCGGCACAATTGTTTTTACCAATTTTTAATATACTTTCTTCCCACTAACAGGGAAAGGATAGGACAATTTGACATATCAAAGTGTCCTTACATTATTATACAATTACAGCACATACAGTAACAAATACAATTTAACTTGATTGTAGTAATCTTACAGTACTGCCATTTCTCCTGCCCTTTAATACTCCAACTGACATCTAACTCCAAATTAATCCCATGAGACAACTAAATGAAAACAATATGGAATAATGTGTATTTCTATTTTTGAAGGGTTATTTTTGCCCAATACAAGACCTTAAATGTACTATCAAAAAACATGGAGAATGTTTCATTCTTCACCAACAGCTCCCTGGGTGTGCATACATGGGTTACTGGTTACTGGTATTTGACTTTATTTCTCTCTTATTTTTATTTTTTAAAGCTGCCTAAGCAAAATGGTGGCAGATTAGAGCCCATCAGCGTGGTAGCAAAACTCATATCCTAGAGGGAATTGACAAAACTGCTGAGTCAGCGAACGTGACATGATGTGGTTTCTCTCCCTTCATTATCATTGCATGACTCTCTAATTCCAGCTCTCTGCCCCCCGTCTCCCTCCTCCAGCACTGAGCCAGGCTCTGCTAACAGGGCCAGGGAGTCTCTCCTGTTATCCTAGTGCCTTGTGGGGAGGATGAAGATGGCTCTGGTAAAGAAAGTGTACCTTTCCAGCAACATGGAAAGTCTGCTGAGTCTCACTGGCCCTCACCTTCTATTTCCAAACTAGTCTGCCACATTATTTATGTGATTTTTTCATTGAATTTGCAAAAAAATACAATATATTTTTAGGTACATTTAGGGATACACTCTGATCGCGTTTTAAGAAGACCATTGTGATTTTAGCAGTCATTACTCTGCAACTCACAACTGGCAACCCACTGAAGCTAAGCAGGTGTGAGCCTGGTCAGTACCTGGATGGGAGCTCCTAGGAAAAACTAAGGTTGCTGCTGGAAGAGGTGTTAGTGGGGCCAGCAGGGGGCGTTCACCCTGCGGTCCCTGTGGGTCCTAATGCCCCAGTATAGTGGCGGGGACACTATACTGTAAACAGGCGCTGTCCTTCCAATGAGACTTAAAACCGAGGTCCTGACTCTCTGTGGTCATTGAAAATCCCAAGGCGTTTCTCAAAAAGAGTAGTGGTGTAACCCCAGCGTCCTGGCCAAATTTCCCATTGGCCCTTACCAATCATGGCCTCCTAATAATCCCCATCTATGAATTGGCTCCATTACTCTGTCCTCCTCCCCACTGATAGCTGATGTGTGGTGAGCGTTCTGGTGCACTATGGCTGCCGTTGCATCATTCGGGTGGATGCTGCACATTGGTGGTGGTAGAAGGGAGTCCCCATTACCTGTAAAGGGCTTTGAGTGGAGTGTCCAGAAAAGCGCTATATAAGTGTAAGCAATTATTAGTTTTATTATTATTACCACATTAAACACATCTGGGGGCACAATCAATGTGTCTTCCAGCTTCCTGCAGCATTTATACTTGTGTTTGCCTGATATTGTCTGTTACTCAAGGTAATAGTGCTGCACACTCAAAATAAGATGGGAGTTTTTGGACGCTTTGCTATTTCAGCATCTTGAAAATAAAGGCCTATTTATAATGTAATTATAATGAATGTAAATCAGAAACTGTGTTGAATGCATATGCTTAATAAATGAGCAAACCTTTTCTAGACACTTAAATATCTCACATAATTTTACTAGTAAACATAGTATATTTCATAAACATAGCAAAAGCATACATACTGTGTAAGGGCTTGTTACAAGTTTACAGTTCTGCCCTGTCTCAGTGTTTTTCACCCTGGTTGACTTCCTAAACCTTTTGGTTCTCTGATCTTCTCAGATTATATTAAGACTGAGCTCTCATTCTAAGTGACTTTACAGCAGCATTTTCGAATACAGAGTGAAGCCCCTGGTTTCTCTAAGCTGCTTTGGAAGAAGAAATGTTCACGACAAAAAACTATTTAGCAAATAAAAACTGTGAAAGTAATTTTAGAAAAGCATGGTTGTGTTTCAAATACCTTGCTCTAGTGCATACATTAACCATTGTTGATATAATTCACAACTCTTTTAAAAAATACGGCTCTTGGTATGATATAGCTCATCCACCACCAGTCACTTTTCAAGGATTTCTTTTATCTTCTGTGAATTCATGTTAATATCTAAATATTTAGATATTTAGATATTATTTAGATATTTAGGGGCCTTTCAGGTCAATGCAAGTCAAGTTTCCTACATGTACCCTGAGCACAAGGAGATCGAGGATGCTGGAATCTGAACCCTGACAGCAGGGATCACCAGAAAGTGTGTTCCCCCCTTTGAAAACAATTTAGCTCTCCTTGTGGGGTGAAGAATTTGCATTGTTATCCTATGAGACACCTCTCCCTCTCCCTTGTGAGGCTGCTTTAAAGAGGAACTACAGTCCCAATTTCTCAGACTGGTTATTAAATCTCAGCATCTAAATTAATTGATGGTATTGCAAAATTATACAAATTCTGAATTTAACACAATGCTGTGAATTTTGTGAAAGTACCGTATAGCCGTCATGGTGTTGCAAACTACAGGTCAGAGCAAGAGTTTGCACAAATTGTAACTTAAAGCAGCCCTTTCTCCTCACTATTTTCTGTAATAACTAATGTCTTGAAGTCACGAGCGATATTTCTACTGGATTAATAGAGATGTATTCACATGCCTGCTTCTTTACAATGTAATAGGGCTGCTTTTATTGTGATTTGAAATGAACTCATCAATGCTGATTGTTTCTAACCCCAAAATAAAAAAAATAGTGTTGCACTTCCTCAAATTAAGGCCCATAAACTGTTGTGTTTAGAGGGGGTCATGCTCCACTGATCCAAGGAACTGCCAGTCTTGCTATTTTCATCATTGCAGCACTAGAATTGTTCAAAGCTGGAAGCTGAAGAAAATGATGCCTGCATTCTAGTTTTGTTCACAAGTCATTTGAGTTAACTGCAAACCCACTGGCTCTGCCCCTGGTAGAACTACAGATGAATGTGCTAATTCTGATCTTTCAGGACTGGTATTAAACACCCTCAGAGTTTCTGATATTCCATATGTGAGAAAGTGGCAACAATGTGATGCCACAAGAGGAAAGCAGCCTTCCTCTCAGACAGAGCTCCACAGGAAGTAAAGTCCTCTGCAGAAGCTCCTCCTCAGCACAGTCATGTATAATGGATGAACATCTGGTCTGACTGAGTAACTTTACCCTTGAAAAAGACCTTCAGCTCAACTGAACTGGTTCATATTGCACTTTCCATAAGAGAATTCCAGGATTTTGCTGCTCTTTTCTATCGTCATATTCTCTGCCACTTCCCTCTCATGGTGTCATGGTGCAGGAAGTATTTTGTAAGGCAACTCTTCTGACTTGAGCCAGACAGCAAACACCTCATACTCTACAGCTGAACAAGGTCTGTGATTAAATGTCTGTAACCGTGATGTCCTTTCCTGCAGATATAATTCAAAACAGTCAAAAAAAGATCCCAAACATGTTCTAAAAAGTTGTGAATGTGTTTTTCATTTTTCCCCGTATATATTTTTCAAAACTTTTTACAATTCTCATTTTGCAGTTATGAGCACGATGCAGGGATTCTACAGCTACCAGCCGTATACTGTAAGCTGTAGTGTTTCTGCTGAAAGAAGTAACAAATAGGCATCCAAACAAATATTTTAACTTTGTGAGACAGTTTCTAAATATTTACGTCTGTGAAACACAGCACCCCTCATTGAATTTCTTCATCTAAAAGTCTACATATAACAACAGCTATTCTGTAACTAGTCTGTGCTGTCAAAAAAAAAAGAGAAACATAAATTCAAAAGAAAGTTACACACAATGACATAAGTCCCTGCAAAGGGTTGAGAAACACTTTTGGGAAATGTGGACACGTACTGTATGACTTCTACATGATAAATACTCTGTTCTGTACATCGGAACATAGGAAGTAGAAAACAATGTGATTACAGTAAAAATAGGAACAACAGTGGAAAACACATTAATAGCTTGGTTATTAGTACCTGTTAGAGTCAGACTGACCTCCTGGTCAGTTGAAGGAAATGTCCAGTAGGGTCGGGGTATGTTAATCAAGTCAGTCCCAGCTAAGGGCCTTTACGTTTTTTTTTAATTTGCCCTGAAACAAAAGAAAAACACATAGAAAAACTTTCAAACTAACTTTTTTTAATCTAAACGCAAGGTGGCCAGTGTTTGCCTCAAAAATGAGGAAAACTGCTAGTATAAGCCAAATGTTTTTCACCAATGTGATACATTCACAGTGAGCTACATAATATGAGGTACAAATACAGCATTACAATGGCATTTAAATATGATGTTTAGACAATAAAAGCTATGTACATTTCAAAACCACGTACATTTTGTGCCCAGCTGTTCCATTGCAATTTAATCTTTCTGATAAGAGTTGTTGTTTTAGGAGATTCAAATTCAAAAGAAATGTAAGGCTTTTGGATAGCTAAAGTACTGTACACATAACAATGCAGACTCACAAGAAAGTCTAAGCTGATAAGTATAAGGCATTTGTTTGTCATTTTTAATTTATGCTGATTTTATTTCTACCAAAAAAAGCACAAAAGCATTTTTGTATTGATTTCTTTACAGGGGATAAGGCCCGTGTTTATTTTCAGCACAAAGCACTTAAACGGAATGTTCCTCCCTCCTTCAAAGCATTGCTACTTCAAAATTACTGGTAACTCAATTATCTCTTCCAGACGAACTGTATAAATGTATAAATGGATAAAGTGAATGAAGTGAACAATTTTGTGCAGGATGAACTTACAGAAATGTGTGCTATTTTATTAGTAAATTATTTAATAAAATGCCGTCAAATATTTTACTGGATGAAACAAAACTAAAACAGTATGCTTAAAATGAAGCTGAAGTTGAAATGCAAGTTAAAAATCATTTAAAGTTAAAAAAAAACACTTTTACAAAGCAGTACTGATGTAACGTACCATAAGACATGAAGAAGAAGACAGTGTAATAGCATAGATATGAAACTGATTTTGAGATTTGCCAATACTGTGGAGTTTCAATTGTTACTTTTTTAACTTATTACTCAATTTTTCAATTTAAAATCCTCCTTTAAACTTCAGTTATTCAAGATTTATTGTGACTAGCTGTTGCCAGTACAACAATGAAAAAATACAGTCCAGATCTACATATCATAGGAATTATCACACATAATTATTATTGTTAGGTTTGGATGTTTTGAAATGAAATTATTTTAAATACTGGTGATCCCCAGGGCTGTGTTTTGTAATCTTAACTACTTTCCATTTATATGATTGAAATAAAAATACAGGGAACTTTTGTTAATCTTTTAAAGCCTGCAGATGGCCCTAGCAGGATTGATTATTGGGGATGATAGAGAAGAGCTGAAGAATTACTTTGAACAGATAAGTTAATTGGAAAGGTGGTCTCTGTCTAGCATGCTTCATATCAATGATGACAAAAACCAAAGAACCGGTGACCTGTGATAGCAATATGTAACATTTTCAACCTCAGTGTTTGAACTGGAGTAGGACCAGTGTTTGAAATACCTAGGGACATTTAAACTTTGCAGAGGATAGCAACTGCATTTTGAAGAAGGCTAGTCAGTGTATATTTTTGATCAGGAAGCTGAAAGGGTTTAGAATGAGTCAAAACATTTTAGAGAGGGGTTATAGAATGTTAGCAGAAAGCACCCCTACTTTTGGTACAGTATCAAGGTGTGGTATGGTAGCATTAGTATCAAGAAAAAGGGGATATTGGCCAGAATTGTTAGTTAATACTGTTAGTAAAATAATTGGTTGACCACAGAAACAGCTTGAAGAGTTGCTAACCTCTCCCACCCTCTTCATCCTCATTTTCAACTGCTGCTTTCAGGGAGACATTTTAGAATGCCTATGGCCAAGACAAATGTATACAAGAAATCTTCTCTTCTTCTTTTGTATATTGTGCAATCAATATACAGTATTAAATGCAGCTAACCGATTCTCTCTTGTATGAAGCTATTGGTTTAGTTTAATATGGGTAAAGCAAGATGTGTGTTTATCAATGTGTTGAATGTATTTATGTTGAATGTTATTTGTTTTTATAGTTTTTTAATGGTGAAGCCAAAGACATATTTCCACCTGCTTGGATAGACAATAAAGGTAATAATATAAAGGTTGCACTGACTACTAATACTGATATAACCAACCCACAATAATGTTCAGTGTCTTCAGCTTTAGACTGGCATGATATACTTTTGAATGTTATGCATTTGGGCAGTTTGCAAATGATCTTCTCTTAACAGAGACCTGCTGAAATAATGGATTCACAACTTAAAACAAATCTCTTGAATAATTAAAAAAAACAAAAAGAATAACACTAACTATGAAGTATGAGAGAGCTCCCCAATTTCCTGACTCCATATTTAAGTTTTCCAATAAATATCTTTCACGGATTGTTAAGATAATGTGTGTCACTTAAAAATGGAGGAGGAATTAGTAACAATTTGGCAACCTCAAGGCAAAATTTCTTTCATTTTTGTCATTTTCAACCCACTCAAGTTTTCAGTCCCACTGTGTGATAATGAGAAAGCATCTTCAATGAAAGAGTTTCTATTAAGAATAAAAAAAACATAGCAATGCATATGACCTAGTTTCTAAAGCGTTCCTATCTGTTACTGCTGAGGCTGAGGAAGTTTTCAGTGCAGCTAAAGTATAAATGAGAATTTCTTCAAGGCATAGTTCTGTATTGGAGTCTCTCTTTATTGAGTGGCAGCTCAGCTGTGGGTTACTTGTTTGTAGAAAAGACATAGGTTTTTTACAGAACTAAGTATGAGAGAGACACCACAGTCCACTGAAGAGGCAGAGTGAAACATGCAACTAGATGAGAACTGCAGACATCAGAGAGGAACTTGGGGTGCTGCAAATAACATAAGGCCTCTGCAGAGGTTAGGATCTGAAAGTTTATGGTAAACAGGTCTTTCAGATTTATTCACCTATGAATAACGTGTTGCTTTGTTTCAACTTTTATCTGCCTGTTCTTTGACAATGAAATACAGTCCTTCTCATCTGTAAAAGATGTTCAATTAATAAATTAGATACAGTAGGTTAAATTTGAACCTTTTTTATCCCATTTTATTCAGAATAAAACCTGATGTATTAAAAGCTGCAAGATTTAGACACAGGGCAAATCAAAGATCAACCATGAGCTAAAATGAACCTCCTCAGCAATTCCATTAGTCAATTCTTTTTAGTTAATTCTAAAGATGCTCAAGCTCTCAGACTCAAGGTACCCACTTATTCCTGGTGTGGTCTTAATGTCAATGATGATGTTTTATCCTTCTCTCACCAGCTTGAGAATTTTTGCTGGTGTTAGCTGTGCAATAACAAAGCTCATTATCCATCACACAAAACCATCATGTATTGATCTATTATGCCTGCTGGTTTGTAGTTAAAACTCTCATCAGGCCCTGCCCAAGGCCTATTGACATTCTATGAACCAGCCAGCATTGAACTTAAATAAACCATTACTCCAAGTGCATGATGGAAGCTGTATGATCAGTGCCAGGCAAATTAGCAAGGCAGCCAAACTGGCATTGTTTAACATCTTTAATGCTGTGCCAGGTAAGAAATGAGACCAGGCCAAAGCTCAGGATTTCATCTTAAGGAATAAGTAGGTTTGTCTTTGAATGTTTGACCAACTACTGTACTTCCAAATTTGTGTGCCATCTCTCTAGTCATATGCTGTTTCTTTAAAGGTTAAACTTCATATGGAAATGCAAAATGCACACACATTCCAGACATGTTTCACTCTTGTCAGTTAGACAGTGCTGCTGTGTTTTCTCTTCCACCTTTTATATTAGATAGAACTTCAGATTCATTCCAGGGTGCTTCACATGACATTAAATTGCTCCCTAGACAGCACAAATAACGAGCAAGAATCCTTATACGTTTATATCCTTATATTCTTATATGTGGGTTCCAGAAGTCTTTACTAACAGTATACCTAGAACACGTAGATTTATTCATTATTCAGGAACTGTGAAGTGGATGAATATTAGGTAGAACTTCAGATACATTCTGATGCTTCACATCCCTTGAGACGAAGACACACCTGTGCCATTGAATACACATTAAGTTTTTTGTGCATTATATGTGGATTAAGGCTAGCTCTTTTTTTTTCTAGGAGATAAAAAAATGCCAGCAATATGAGTTCAGCACGTTGGTCTACAAATCTGAAGGTGTTCAATTTCAATAAAGTTTTACATTCAGTTGCCTGTAAATAAAAAAGCTACTTAATTTTTCTACCATTGATGTAACACTGACTCCTTTTGTATCACAGTCTCCTCATTAGTTTCTATTTGTTTGTTTGCTTTTCAACAGCATATAAAACAGAATAATTACAACGTGTTAATAATTGAAAACCTGACTTACTCTTTGGGATCCTATTTAGGATACCATTACAGCTGTGAGGACTGACAGCTAATAAAACTTTTTTTTTTTAAATTAAACTCATTTCAAAAGAATCATTCATCTTTTTTGTCTGAGAGACTGAGAAATTGTTTGGGGAAATAAAAAGATAATGCAATCGAAAAAGCATCTCTTCATTGTTTATTCACTGGCATAATACACTTAGCAAAGTATTCAGGCAACTCTAATCTGTCATTACAGAAAAGATATTGCTGTGCTGGAATCAGCCCAGAGAACAGCAACTGGATACATTCCTGGTTTCAAAGTAGTCCTAAGTTTGAATTAGTCCAAGTAGGTAGCTGCGTCAGCATGCGTAGGCTGCAAAGGAACAAGTAAAGGTTTATTCCATGCTGAAAAAGGAAGAAAAGAAACACAAAGTTTTGGCTGTGGAGCTCGAAACACATTGTGTTTCTTTTCTTCTCTTTTCAGCATGAAATAAACCTTTACTTGTTCCTAAGTTTTCTATATTGAATATTGTGTTGAATAAAGTAGTCTTAGTTATTTAATACTAACTATTTAATTGTGAAGTGACACCACTTCACAAAAAAGATATTCCTGCTATGGAATCAGGCCTAAGAAGAATGAATAGTTTCTTCCTGGGGCTTGAAGAAATGCCCTGGACTGACAGACAGGAACTAAACCATTTTACTCTTGAACAGAGAAGTTCATGAGGGGGGTGCAATTTGAATACTCAAAATCCCAGTGGCAATCTTTAAATTGAAAACATGTTTTTTAACAATGAAACACTGAAACAGGAACTGGAGGACACAAGCAGAAATGCATTAAGAACAGACATCAAGAGCACCTGTACACAAAGAGGTGTGGGAGTCTGGAACAAGTTACCCAGTGATGTAGACATAAAGGCTTCTTTCTAGAAATAACTGGATGAGACCCACGGATCCAGGGGAGCTAGATTTGGTTAACTATGACCTTGTCTCATTTATAATGTTTCTTTCCTGTGTTCTTATATTTGGCATTCAGATTAATGCAGAAAATAAAATGCATTTTCTATATGCACTTTTTACAAAGAGAACTGAATCAAATGTCGGTTTTCCTAAGGATATACATCTATCACTTTTCTCACTAAGAGGTAGTGTCAGGATGTGTCCTCTTATACAGCATGGGCGCTCTTGACAGATGTCTACACCAGGACTATGTCGTGATTGGGGGATTTGGTTTATTTTTTCTGTGAGAGAGGTAGACAATGTAGAGCAGAAAGTTTCAGAAAAGTGCAACCATTGTCACTGTCAGACCTTGCTTCAACTGCTTCAACGTGTGTCACCAAATCCGCCAACCAATGACTGACATGTCTTGGCTAAATTTCCCATTGGCCAATCACTGCCTCCTAATAATCCCCATCTCTGAACTGGCTTCATCACTCTGTTCTTCTTCCCACTGATGTGTGGTGAGCGTACTGGTGCACTATGGCTGCCGTCACATCATCCAAGTGGGGGCTGCACATTGGTGGTGGTGTAGAGTGGAGTGTCCAGAAAAGCGCTATATAAGTGTAAGCAATTATTATTATTTAACACAGAAAAATTCAGACATGAAAACAATAACTTTTTAATCTTCCCTCCTTACAAAGCCAAAAAATAAGAGGGTAGCTATGTGGAGCAGTGGATAGGGCACTGGCCTCTATAACAAGGAGGCTGTGAGTTCAAATCCTGAGTAAGGGATTGTAGGACTTTTGTACAAGACACCCCAAACTGCAACAATAACATACTCTGCTGTATTGTATACAGTAAATGAGTGCACACAGAAGTTGTTTTAGATAAAAGTATTTGCTAAACAAATTAGTACTAGCAGGAGCTACCTCACTGTTGTACTTCTGAAGAAAACTGCTAAATGAGCAGGGCCAGATGCAAAAACACCAGTTTTGCCAAAGGACCTCAAATAATATTATTTCTCTACTCATCTGCCTGTCACTGTTGACATGCTTTTTTGGTTGGCAAAAAAAAGTACCCTGGTCAGTATATTGCAATTAACTAAAGCCCAAGCTTTAAATGGGCAGCTAACAAATGTTTTTGAAATGACAAATTCCTTAAAAAAAACAATACCATTGACAGGGCCACCGTACTCCCCTTTCTGTAGTATCTTTATAGTGAAATTCTGGCTTCTTCAGGTGGAACACTTTTCAACAATGTATTGATCTATAGTTAATGGCTCCCATTACTATTTCATAAATAGTATTATCGAATGCTTCCGTTTATATTTTGCCAAAAGTAGTGCTTTCAAATGTGCTGATTTCCCAATTGCAGCAGTAAGGTCTTTAATATCCACAGAGAGGGGCATTAATGTATTCTAATCAATAAGAAGATACAGTGTCTCAGCTGCTGAGATCCTTGAAAAAGATTTGGCACAATTAAATGTCTGGGGTTATTTTGTCCTAGGGAGAACCTTGAAGTTAAGATGTCTCATAAGAAAAAGCAAAACATTGAGTCTAGACCATTGTTATGTACAAGATGATGCCACAGACAGGATAAATAGGTATTGTATGGCTTTTTTTAGAAAAAGTCAAACTGTTGTAACAGTTCCAAAAGAGGATGTGATTTCCAAGTCAGACACTAATAATATAAAATGCATAAAATCTGCAACTTAATAACTTTGTAAATGGATATAATAGAGTCACAGGCCCTTTGTTTTTATAAAGTTGTTAACATACAGAATTATAAGAAAGGTTACAAACAAGAAAAGGCCATTTGGCGCATCTTGTTCGTTTATTCGTTAGTAATTTATTCCTTAGTGGGTCTCAGCTACTGTTGTAATCCAGAACTGTGGCTTCAATAACATGGCTGGGTACCTCGACCCAGACTCCCACTACCCTTGGTGTATTGTGAACATAAGGGAAGATATTTTAATGACCACTATGCAACAAGGGATTGAGGGAAATTTAAAATAAAAAACACTACCTGGAGGGGACAAAGCGGTAAGGTTCCCGTGTAAATAACAGGATAGGTTGTCCAGACCTGGCTCCTAGGAGTGTGGGCAAAAGCAATGGACAGCAGTGACTAGAATTCCCTTGTCAGTGGCAAACAGCTGGCAAGAGCCACTTGGGTGGTGTTGTGTTTGGGTTAGGCAGGGTGCAACTGTAAGTCTGTGGTTCTGCCTGTAAGAGCTGCAATCATTTGATGTCAGTGCTCCTGTAGCTGTGGCAGCAACCAGAGAGCAAGAAAGATGGACGACTGACCATACACTTGTCAGAGGAAGACCCTCATCCCCTCGGTCGAGCAGGTGTGAGAATGTAGTAGTCGCAAAGTGACTTTTGACAGATTCCAAACTGGTATGTAAATGCATGAAATTGCTCCCTAGACAGTACAAATAATGAGCGAGTATCCTTATATACATTTCATGTATTGTATTTTTCAGTAGCCTTTACTAAGATGTACCTAGAACATGTAGATGTATTCATCATTTAGGAACTTTTAAGTGGATGAATATTAGATAGAACTTGAGAAACTGCACAATTTCATACCCCTTGACCTAGATACACAGAATACTCTATTAAATGTTTGTTAATAACGAAGCCAAAGAAACCTTACCAATTCACTGCAAACAGCAGATCGTGGCTTGAACAATCATCTTGCTGACGCAGTAAAAAGGGCATCGGTACTCACAAGACAGTCCTTCTCAGTGTCCAAACCTATTCCGTAGAACACCATGGACAGCTCAGATCTAATTAGCAGCCAATATATAAATACACCTCTTTATCATAATATGTTTTGCTTCCATTGTGTTACACTGTGTTTACAACATTCATATCACATATTAGAAAAGCACAATGCTGTAGTGTTAATAAGATTGAGGAGCATGGTATGAAACATGCCTCATTAATAAATTAATTCAATTAGCGATATGCTTCCAGGAAATCACATATTCCTTACTGTGGTGAGGACACGATATGGCATCTGAATCTGGCATTCAGGAACTGGCTGACTGGGCACACATCTGTGATCCGATGTTGTTCTCAACAAGGCAGCTGCAGGAGGTGTGAATCTGGCTTCTGCAATCCTGTATATTAGAGAGGGGAATAATTGTGTGGAGTTCATTTCTTTGAGGAAAAATACAATCAGGCCATTTGGGGACACACTGGTGTGAGGTATGGGGCTCAATGGCTCAGCGGGTCCCCCAAAATGTAGTCTATGGTCCTGCAAAGAGGATCTTTCCGGATCAGGGAGGCTTCAGAGCTCTCATCCACTTTCATTCGCTTACATATGGGCTGCAACTGGGAAGTAAAAATATACAGACCTTCTGAATTCGTTTGGTTTCTACTGGAGCTGTGCAGTGCCCATGTTTGTATCAAAGGAAATAGCAATCCTGTTTTTAAACCCCATCAAACTACAAAAGCAACAGCTCCAAAATAAACAGCCATACAAAGAAAATGCTTTAAATGCTTTTTGTTTCATGCTTCAGTTGTATATGAACTTGGTTCCAGCAACACTCAGTTGAACTGATATTGCTGTGTAAATATAATGAGGCAGAATTGAAATTCAGAGCTGTTTTAAAGCTGCAATTAGTTTGTCTTTAATTAAGACACTGCTCCTACTGTGTTATTTAAAGACCCACTCTAGTATGCTCAAAGCTGAGATTACAAATTAGCACGTAAATAACCCAAGGAGGAGAATAAAGACTAACAATATATTGGCAAAAATACACAGCACAAACACATTTTTCTCTCTCCCTCTGCATGTTGCCCTGGCTGCACTGTAGTCATTGCATTTGACCTCTGCATACTGGATGTTTTCAACCTCCATATTTCCCCACTGTGGCTTTGCTGCCTGTTTCCATGTCTTTCTTTTTAGGAAAATTATTGAATATTTCATACGATGTGCTGGATTGACAGCCCTGGTAACCAAAGCCCTTTCCCTTACTCCCAAAGCAGATTGTGCTCTCCCTGATGTAACCAAAAACCCACCTTTCTGTCTCTGTCTTCTCCTTTCTATATAAAGCATTATACTGCTCTGTGTAAAAAAACAACAGCTTGTTTGCATACCGACAGTGTTACAAATCACTCGCAATTTCATTTTGTGCTCTGGATAACCTGCTATTTCTCAAAAGTAGCAAAACTGAAAGTGGAACAAGATGAACAGCTCACATTTAACCGTTTTAGAGGGCATCCAAGTGAAGTCTAGTAGAAGTAAGGGAAGCGTACGTTTTGAATAAATCCTTTCCTTTAAGTATGCTACACACGTTGCTCTCAGGGGTATTTGCTTCTGCGGCCTGAATGTCAATCCATCTCCCCCCCTCCCTCCCCCCCAGCGTTAACCCTGGAGTCCTGCATCGTCTTCCCTTCCCATGCAACACTGCTGTGTCAGCCCCTGCGCGTGCCCTTCCCGTGATATTGACATTCCTCTCCCAGCAAGAGCGCCAGCTGGCCAATAATGGGGATCCCAAACGGGAGGAATTGAAAAAAAAAACAGCAACTGGCGGACTGAGGTATGGAAAAGGCCCAGGCACACTACAGCTGCTGTCCGCGCAGAAAGTGCGGAGGTGCTTTAAATATTCATTCACCGCTCACAAAAGCAGCTGGATCCCCAGCTCACGTTTCCCTCCCCTCCCCATCTTAGTGTCGGCTCCTGTTCTCCAGGAATCGATGGCAGCCTCCAATGCTGATTATGTGCCCCTGCAGCTGATGGCCAACTACAACACACCCATAGTTTGTGCCACAGCCTCACGCTCACGATCATCTTTCAAAGCCCAGTCAAGGAACGGACCCATGTGCAGTACGTGACACTTGAGAACAGTGCAAATTGTTGTTTTCAAATGAGACCATAACTTAGTTACAAAAAGAGGCATATCTTAGAATTTCTTGGTATTTATTCAGATGTAAGATGTAGATGGAATTAAATTTGACTTCTCATTGAAGTACTGTAAAGACATGGTCACAGAGTGACCAAAGTGGGGTAGTAACTTTGAGCATAAATATAATGTTTCTCTCAGATCTGACGTGTACATTTTTCTTGGTCTGCCAGCCTGGCTTGTTTTGATCAAGGTCTCCAAGCCTTCGTGACGCAAACTCTATGTTAGTTGGCAATCAGCAAAGATTGAACGACACGCTGTTTTCCTCGATGCCCGTTAATTACCCCACAATCAGTGGTGATTTGGGATTATGAAAGAGGCTTACCTGGACTTGGGATAGAAGAAAAGCACAAGGAACAAGGCATGAAAAGACAAATCTCCACAACTGCTGCCAATCGGCATACAGGAAGTTCAGTAATTAGCCCCCACTCATTAGGTCTGCCTATCCCCTCTCACCTAGGATCACCAGACACTCCTGCCCCTCATTCACTCCAGTCCTGGACTTCTGACCACAAAAGGGAGATACCAGAACCATGAAGACCGAGCAATAGAAATTGGGGGACACATTGCACCACTAGACACAGGAGAGGACTTGGCGACCAGAGGGGGACTCTACAGAGAGCAGAGGATGGCTCAGGCACTATCTTCCTCCCCCAGTGCTGTATATGTTACAGAGAGACAGGGCAGGGAGAGTATAATGGGACATACTAATTGGGACTATGGGTTCTGGAGAGAACACTATTGGCAATAGAGGGACTAGAAGGAGTTTAGTCTCTTCCTTCATGTTGGAAGAAGGAGGTTCCCCAGGATACTGGACTGCTTTTTTATGCGGGAAAGTGCTGCTGTTGGATTGTTCTGCACTGTTGTTTTGATTACTTGGGTATATAAGGTTCAGATGTGTTTCTGTATGTGTCCCTGATGGATACCTTGTTTTCTAGTGTTCGATGTATGGAGTAGACAGTGACAGCTATTGAGATAGTGGTGATTCTGGGAGATACAAAGAACCTGTTACAGGGAGCAGGGTAAGCCTCTTAAAATTGCTTGGTGGTGTAATTGGCTACAGTTCCTGCTTATTGACATGTCCACTATATATCTGTGACACAGCTGTGGCAATATTAAAATGAATGAAAAACATCACCCTCTGGATATCTACAGACAATCTGTCACTTGCCCATTGTGACTAAAGAAAGCTGCTGGTAAGATGTGTGGGTGCCTGAAATCTTTCATGGACATGCAGGGTGCAAGGCAGGACTACAACCTAAACAGTACACCAGTTCATTGCTGGACCAACTCGGAGATGACGAGCGTGTCTTCAGAGGAGGGGTGGAGAATAGAGCACCAAACAAACACAGGGACCCAAGGGCTTGGCACAGACCTCCTAAAACTAATAATGCACAGGACAATTGCATAACCATGCCACAGCAAATGAATTGCGCTGCATTTTCATTACATTTTCATATTCCTGAGCAAGCATTGCAGACCATGCATCCATTCAAACCCAAGACAAAGGAACACATCCCAGAAGGAAGATTCCTTGATTGGTCCATGATGGCCACAGCCCCACAGTTCTACAACATCAGCTGCTTTAGTTCAGGCTAAGCAGAAGTCTTCCACAGAGCAGTGCAGGTAACTTCTCAGTTCAGTTTATTTGTCATATGGATGGAGGTTTTTACCTGTTATGCCTTCTGGCATGTAGGGGTGGCAACATCCTGCTGCTGTTACCATAACATTGTTTTTTTACAGGACAGGGTAAAAAAACAATGTGCCCAACCTCCAACATGGAGGACCTGGCACCTGACATGGGACACGAACCCACTACCCTGAGATTATGAGTCTCAGGCTCTACCAACAGAGCAGATCAGGGTACAAGTGCAATGAAATGATTTGCATGTGTGTTCCAATACAGAGACATTAAAGGAATCACCAAATACATAAACACAGAAGAGCAGCAGCAACAACAGCAAGTTAAATAACATACAACTTAGAAAACAAGTCAATCAAGCAGTATGAGAGGAAAAAAAACATCAGTGTGAGCCAGAGGTAGGCCAAGGACTTACAGTATAAAGCTAAACCTAAACTGGTTGAGTATTCTCTTATTCAATTCAGCCTCAGCAGTCCCTGGTACACTCTATACAATGATAACCATGTTCAGTCACCTGGAAGATCATTTGCTTGATTACTCCAGTTTTAACACAGAAGTAAATGGTTGCGTATCGTTTCTGGTTAAAACATAGCCCATGTGTTAAAATCAGTTTTGCCATTTTGTTTTCCCTTTTTTAGTTTTTCCAACTAAATAAATTATCAATGTAGGCCATCAGCCTTATTTGCATGCCGTGCAAATAAGCTGCCATAGTCCCACCTCTGTAGCAGAGATAAAAGGTATAAAATACCTCCTGCACCAACCAGTTCCGTGTTTGTCTAGTAAAAGCTAGGAAGTCGAGTCATAATTTGGTGCGACTTCTCTACACTCGAGGTTTTAGTGGGTTATCGTGGGATATACAAACGTTCGAGAACACCCAGCTGTGGGACAGCACTTTGACGCAGTCAGAACCCCAGGTGAAGTCAGCAGTGGGGGGTCTGTGGGGTTCATGTGTAGGAGCAGATGGATACTGATGAAGAGCTGATGTTTCTATCCCTGGGCAGCAGCTTAGGTCAGTGGCAGTGGTAAAACATTCTCTCCAAACATTTCTCAAAGAAAAAAACATTTTCTCAAAAATGTTTGTTTCTAACTTACATTTGTTTATAAGCTAAATAAACTAAGCCCTCCTGGCTCCCCTCAGCCCCCACACTTATGCACACAGCAGTTTATCCAAAGACATACATCAATGCGTCAAAAGCTGGTTTAGCATGGTGGTGATTTTTTCTTTTGGGTCAGCAGTAACAAAATTGCAGTTTCTGCTTTAGTCAACCAACCTTAAAAGCGTCCTGTGTCTCTGCAATTTCTTGTTGAATCCTGAATCTCAGAGAGTACTTCCAGAGCCACTGACTTGAGCTGTAAGTACAAAGAAATTTGCACATATCTGAAAAAGGGAAAGACTTTGACCTATTAATCATCTCCCATCCCCGAGATTTCAGCAAATCCCACTAGAATGTAAAGTACCGAGTAACACCTTAAATGCAGTACTTGCTTAGCATTCCAAGTGGGTACAGAACAGGGACTGCAGAGACAAGGCAGCCTTGAAATAGGTCAGGGATTAGTGTACTGATCTGAACAGGGGGGTTCAGATACCATGCACTAGATCAGCACCAAGGAGAAATAATCCAGATTCTATAAATGTATAAAATGTTCTTCCTGGCAGTTTGAATTGTGTACTTTGATTTGTGTTTCACTGTGGATCATGAAAATGTCCAGTGGGTCAGTGCCTTTTTTACAAGGATTTTTACAAGCCCCCTGATCCGTACTAAAAATGCTCAGTTCTTTTAGACTGTCAGTGTAGGATATCCTTTAATCCTTGGAATGTACCTTACAGTAGCTACAGTCACAGTTTGGTGAACTTATTCCAAAGCAACAATCTATTTTATCATGTGGTGATCACAATTGTAAAAAAAATCTAAATTATTTCAAAACTTGAGCTCCATCTGTCTCAGATTATATAGTGTGCCCACTAACCCTTGTTATAAGATGCAGTTGACTGATGGATGTGTTATGGAACAGAGAATCAGGGGAGTCTGACCTTTCTTATGTTCTTAACAGAGCATCTCTTATCAGGGCTTACAAAACAAGCAGCAGAATCCAAAATCTTCATTATCATGTGTTACTGTAAGTAACAGGGGCATAATTTGTCTTTTCAATGTTGAATTTCCAGTCCATGAACCTAAAATTCAGCACCTTATTATCCCAAATCAAACTTAAAATGTTGGAATAAAGCATAACAATTTAAAATAAACCTGGATTTTCGGGAAAACAGGCCTAGCAAGCAACTTATTCAAGAAGAGAAAGAGACCAACTTTACTCTCCAGAGATAAATTTACTGGAGACTTGCAGTTCACTGTATAAAACAGCTTTAGAAAACAAAGAGAATTCCTCAATTTTTACACTGTTTAAGTCATCCTAAAATCTGGCTTTGGAGATAATGCCTTTGAAGTACCATAACAATGACTCCAAACCGAGACGATTCTTCAGATACTCCCTGATCAATCTATCAGAATTAACCAGGAACAAACTTTCTGATGTAGAAATAAGTTCTCTCTACCAAGCATCAAGTCTGCCTTTCCAGTCTGTGTTTCAGAAGTCATAACCTACTCAGCACTGACAGATGGCAATACTTGAAGATCATCTGACACAGCGTCTTGTTCCTCTCATTTCCTGTGAAGCACCCTGTACTCTGATCTCTGGTGCCTGGACTACCCAGTGCTCTCAGTTTTTCCAGCATTTTAAAATCACAAGGCTTGCCAAGATCTGGGTGAAGTGTGGAAATTAGAGTCAATACAGAGCAGGGGAAATTGCGGCTGAACATGAAATCTGCTGTCTATGTCACAGCAGAACAAAGGCTGCCCACCTATCTGCCCTGTGCTTAGAAACTGCTGCCATGGATTCTTCTTTACACAAAGAGTGTAGGGGATAAGACACCCAGACATGCTGCCAAAGTTGATACCCTTGTTTCTTTCATGAAATGGCGGAATGAGATCCTTGGATTAATTAGCAATAAAACATGCCATATGGACCAAAATTGCCTCCTGTCATTTGTAGTCTCTTATGTTTCTAAAGCAATCCCTAAATTGTTTTGTAATTGCTATACTGAAAAGACAGATTCAGAATCAATCTTTGCTGTGGAGCACGTGATAATGCCTAATCACTGAATATAGCTGCTAAACTTGAAAAAGAGCTTGGAGTTGATACTATTATCCATTCACTCTTTGATGTGTCAAAGGTTGCTGCCAAACAGGTGTGCTTACAATATTGCGACCAGAGAAAAGATACTTGTCAACAGTTGCTGGACCTCATTAACACTTCTGCAGCAAAGTGTGTGTCTCCTCTGGTAGTTGGTGATGAAAACTGAGTTCAGAATAAGAAACGGGCCGAAACATTTCCCCCTCCACCTAAGAAGTTCCAAAGTCTGGTCTTAACAGCCAAGATTATGGCCAATATCTTCTGATAATCAATAACAGGCCTCACACAACTCTACTGGACAATGCAATGTTGGTCCAGCTGAATAAAGTCAACAGTGAAAAATAGCTGGCAATGTTGGTGCATGATTGACTGTTGTGGACAATGCATCAGTTGAAAAGCCTAGGACTGCACCGATGTTAAGACTGAACGTGTATAGTCTGAATTTTAAATGACAAATTTCACAAGAAGGTCCATAGTACTGTATTAACAGTAAAACAGTACAAGAACGAATCACCAGACAAGTCTGCAACAGTAAAAACACCTGCGTTTATCTGCAACTGTCTGGTTGCATGCTGTCAGAACTGGTTGGGATGTAGGTGGAGAAGTTTGGAATGTAACACTTTTTACTCACAACTCACATCTTTTCTACTTAATTCCTGCGTTTGGTTACCACTTCCTTACAGCACAACCTGCTCAAGCAATCAAAATATTCTCCTCCATGGCTTTTCTGGTCACACCCCATCGATTCTTCTGGCATCTGAAGTCTGTGCTGCAAGGGACATGGATTCAGCATGAAGATTCTTTCAAATCTACCATTGAGAAGGCATTGAGAGTTAGGTTATTAACCTGTTATCAAGGGGTTTGAAAGACAAATGGTCTCAGTCAGTTGAGTTGACAATTACACTGAGAAATAAAAGCAGTGTTTGAGAGCAGCAAACATTACTATATAAAATCTACATTAAAATACACATGTACACGTAAATGTTTTCTTTATATGGTGCATTGCTCACATTGTACTTCCCCTGATTTGCTGCTCTCTGAAAACGGTGCAGAGGAGTAAGCATTAATCATCTGACAAGACCTTCTATTTTGCCTTAAACTGATTAATGCAATATCCCTGAGCTGCACACAGAATGCTTCAGTTCCACAGACCAGCACGCATGAATAAAGTTCCAGCTAAATCACCCAAGACGAGGATTTAATTTGTCCTCCATAAAGCCAAGACGACAATGCTGAGTCTGCAGGTGAAAAAGAACAAGTGTAAATTCTATGTACTGCTTTCACTTGCTTATAAGGAATTACCAGTGATACAAGACCTGAAGGTACAACATAGACATCACTAGTCTATCTGTTCTGACTACAGCAGATTCTGAATTGTGTTGTTGCAGTGCAGAAACACTTTCCTCTGTATCTGAAATCAGTGATCCAGTGATCCAAATCAGTGATCCAGGATGGGACATGACATACTGTGCTGCAGGTCTCCCTGTTTTGATAGTCCACAGTGTGGGTAAAAATAATGTGTCCCTTTTGCATGTACATTGCAATTACCTCAGTGTCAGCGTCAAATCAATAATGCAATAATGCAATAATGCCCTAACTTAAATCTAATTATATTTCGGTCTTTGTCCTTCCCCCTTCACATTAATGTATTCATTCATTCTTTTTGTTAAGAGTTTCGATATGCAAGTTGTGATAAAGCCAATGATTAAAATATGTGGTTTTGAGCGAGCTACTAGTGTTTTTGTTACCTTTGAGTTAGCAAGAATTTTGCTAATGTCCCAAAAGTAGTGGAAAGTCAATTTAGAAAGGTTGAAGGAGAAGAATACTCATGCACTTTTACAATTACATGATTACGAAGAGGAGCTGAATAAAAGAATCACAGCTCATCTCAAAATTTGAAGAAATCTGTCACCTGCCATGCAATTTCCTGAGTTCTGGATTGCAGGTTTGAAGGTAAGTGAAATAACCGCTAAGAACATTAAGACCTTCCTAACAAGCCGCAACAACCTAGCTCAGAAATCAAGTTAAACTTCTGTCATCCACTCTAACTGCAATGATAAAAAATTATAGTCCATTGAAATGTTAATAGAAAAACATTAGACAGATCAGAGCTGATAATACTAGCTTCCAGGCCGACTTAGACTTTAAAGCTAGTCCCTAAAGAAGACCTGGAGAAATGCCAGAAAATGCAAAAAAGCTATTAACCCTCATAGTTTACAAAAAGGTAAACCTGGTCCAGAAGACAGAGATTACTGACCTCTTCCTGGTCCAAAAGCCGCACCCTAAACGCTTCCAATTACACTGTATGTCCCAACTAAGCAAAGGGAGCCTGGGACACATAAAATGACAGATTACGTCTTCAGTTGTGCAAATCTATTCTATCAATCTATTTCACAACTCAATAGATGTAATTTAAAATACGATCTCTTGCAGCTTCCTGTCATCGTTTCATTGCAGGTAAGTTTCTTGACAGAGCATCTGGTATTGGTGTCTTCATAACTAAACCGATTAAATGGATAAAAAAGGTAACGTAATGAATATAATCTCCACCCACAGCTGTGCTCTGCTAAGTGGTAAACAAGACATGGAACAGTTTGGAGTTCTTTTGAGAACCTTAATGACCTTCAAGATTTCAGAACAATGGTTCAACACCAATCAAATGCACTATTCCTGCACATCATAGGGTTACCTAGAAAAGGAATGATCATGTCATCTATTCATTATGCAATGAAAGGATTTTGAGTCTCTACTGCAACCTGAAACCTGCTCTCTAAATTCAATTGTTCGTACAAGCTTGAGTGCCGATTCAGTTTATAAGATGCTTGTGTTACTTCCCTGGATTACCCTTGACCTACTGAGGCTGAGAACAATGCCAACAGTGTCCATCATTTTACAATTTTGAAACCTCTTAAAAACAAACTTAGGAAAGGAACTTAGATGCAGTACCAGGCAGTACTGTTTAAAGCACTTTCTTTCCCAAGATGAAAGATCCAAGTACTGCAGCCCAAAGAACAGCCTTTGAACAAGCAACTGATGTATAGCCTACAAGAGTGAGATATTTATTAATTAGCATTAATTAGCATTGCTGTTTGAAGCGAACCCTAACAAGGATATTATAAAAGTGTAGATGATTTTAAACTTTTATCTGGATACCTAGATGGTTTGTATAGAATGCTTTATTGGAAGCATTTGTCTCTGCTGTTCAATGTTTCCCCACTTTGAAGAGCTGTTTCATCTGAGGGACATTTCTGTGCTACCATTTCTGAACGCATAGGAAAATATATGCAATATGCTTAATTGTTTTTTTGGTTGTAATAGCAGATTTTAAGTGGGTATTGGTAAAAGTGCTACACAGGGTGACTACCACAGATCAGCTACAGTTGAGAATAGTGAATACAGTGCCTTTCCCTTTCCGGCATCCTGTACTGGTTATGAGACTGCTTGTGCATTACAACAAATCACAAATCAAATTAGAGCAATTTTTTGTCTTTGCTGAAACTTCATGAAACACTTCAATCCAGTCATCCTGTGCTCGTTGCATAAAAGCAAACATATATTTTAGGAAGAAAAACAATGTTTTAGCTTGCCCTCTAGAGTACTACATACTGGCTCACAGCAAGAGACCCTTGTTTTCACTTTAAAAAAAATTACTGACCTTCAGCAAACACCTACAGTACAGTACAATTCCACAGCCGCACTTTAAAAGCTATTCTCACCAGGGGGTTTTTATTTCTGAGGTACTTGACAACTAGCAATTGAAGTCCGGTCTTTCAATTAAAGTCTTGGGAGAGGCAGGTCATTGCTCTGACTGGCAGGGATAAACAATTCAGCACAAAAATGACTGTGCAGAGATTAAATGAGATTCCTCTGGTTAACCAACATAAAAAAAACTCAAATCTCTTACTAGTAAAGAGTCTCAAAACAGGAGATTAAAACTCTGGTCCTTCAAAACCACAGGATTTTTTAGTTTAATTTCCTTTAATCAAATAAATTAAGTGTCGTTTGGTTTATGGTGTTCGGAGTGAAGTTGGTATTCAGATGGGTTTTCTTTGCATCTTTTTCAAAATACATGCTGGCTGTCACGCCCTCTGCAGCCAGAGGGTGCTCCTTCTCTGTCCTGTCCCTAGTTTCCAGTCTGCTGTCCTTCCTGGTCCTCTCTTTCCCTTGGGCTATATATTTCCGGGTCTTGCACTCTGTCCTCGCTCAGCATTGATGTTCGGATGTCCTGTGACCTGCTTAGCACCAGGGCGCCCCACGTCCACTCCCTGAGGGCATAGGTTTCTATACGGCATTCCTGAACTCTTTGCACTAATGAGCCCGGGCCTTTTTCCCGTCTCGCCGCTACGCATATGGGTCTTTTTCTGCTCTCCTGCTCCCTACGGTTAGTCCCTTTGGACGTCCGTGACACTGGCTAGTTTAACTGGCATCTTTAAATTGTCCCGGTGTGTTTGTGCCCTGCAATGGACTAGTGACTCACCTAGAGTGCAGTCCCACCATGTGCCCTGTGCTTCCAGGAAAGCTTTAGGTTGTCATCAAAGTGTAGTTGTCATGAATATAAAAATAAACATTTTCTTAAATTCAGATTCATTTCTATTTGAACTTATCCATGATCAGGTACGATACACAAAACAAAGACCTGTGATGTAATTGGAATAACAGAAAAATGGCATCAGAGAGTAATGGTACAGTAAGGCATTCAGCATTAGTGGATACAAAGCAATCTGGAAAGATGAGAATAATGGGAGAAATATAGGTGTAAAACCGCACATTAAAAGAGCATTCAGGTACAGAAACATAACCTAAAAAAAATCAAGGTTCTCAGAATCAATAAAGCTCAGGCTTAAAAAGCAAAATATTCAAAGAGCATAGTTTTGGAAGGAGCAGTTTAATCATGAATGTACATTATTTGAAAAGGAGGAAGTAAGTATGATGGTAGATTTCAATTTTCCTCACTCAGATTGGGAGCAAAATTAACGTCTGCCTTCTTACTCAGTTCATCTGAGCACCTACTGAAGAAATGGCTGTGTTGATTTAGTGAAGGCTGCGCAGGTTATAACAAAGAAATTCAATTCAAGAAAACAGGCTGCAAAGAAATGAGACAAGCTTAAGAGACCTATAACAGGATTGTATAAACACAGAATGAGAAAAGTATGGTTAGCATCACTTCAAAGATATATTGCTTGACACACTGTACAGAACAGATTTGTCCCAAGATTATACTGTATAATTAAAAAGAAAGACGTGGCAGGGATGGCTTAATACATCCATTAAAAATAAATAAACTGTAAAGATAGCACCTACCAGTTAAAGGGTGACAAAACTGAAGTAATTGTAGGCTAGGAGGTCTTACAGCTAAAGTAGTGGATTATCTGTATGAAAATAAGATTCTTGGGGAGAATTAACAAGGATTTAGGAAAGGCCGGTCTTACTGAACTACTTTTACAGAATTCTTTAAACAAGCAAGAGCATTAATGAATACAAACATATGATTTGATATATTTGGATTTTCAGAAAGCTTTTGATAAAGTTCACAAAAGAAAAGGAAGTGTACCAATTGCTACACTACAGTGAATGGCTGACACAATTAATAGATTATCAAAGGGGACTGTATTAGGAGCTCTGGTGAACATTACAGTTTTCCCTATAGACTGTTTAGTTAAGCTCTCTTTTAGTACACGTGCCTGCTGCTCTCTCAATCTCATGGGACTCCACCAGAAAGGTGCATGGTTTTAGCAGTCTGGTTCAACAATAAACAGCTGTTTGGGATTCATTGTAGAGTGTTAAAAGTACTGTTTGCTTCCAACAGAACTGGAGTTATTAAAACACATAAATGACAGTTCATGAGAAACAAATATCTTACTATATGTTTATTTCATGTTCCAAGATGAACTGCTATGTTCAAGTGAATGCTTGAATTAGGTTGACATTAATAATCAATCAAAGGGGCCTGTATTGGGACCTCTGGTCATATAAATGACCTAAATTGTTATACAGATAGTCAACTAAGTATGTTTTCATACATGTTGTTTGGTGACACCAAATGAAGAATCAGCAAAAAGTGTTGAAGCAGGAAAGGGAAATCCTAAGAACAGACAAAATTCAAGACTGGGCAATTACCTGGCTGATGACATTTAATGCAGACAAATTCGGAGTTCTGTATTCAGGCATTGAATACACACTATATATCCAAGCAGTAAACTGGTGAGCTTTAAGAAGCTACTTAAAAAGCTTTAGTACTGACAATACATACAGTTTATATTCTAGACAACGCAGGGATGCAATTAAAGAGGCAAACAGAACTTAAGCATAACAGTAGAAGTATAGAATTTAAATCAGGAGGTATAGTGTTAATATGACCTAATATGTGTGCAATTTTGGTCACCATGTTGCAAAAAGATATTGCTGCTCTGCAAACAGTCAAGAGAAGAGCTACCACATATGGTACATTTCTAAGCTCAAAGGAAAATCCTGCTCAGACAGGCTAAAAGTACTGACAATTTTTAGTCTCGAATAGAAACAACTACAAGGTGACCAAGTATTCATAGTCCTCAAGATAACTGATAAAGTCATCTAACTGAACTTCTTCCCAATCCACAGTGAAACACAAATCATAGGTACAGTAGGTGAAACCAAATGATCTGGTTAAGCTGAAAATGAGAAGGGGACAATCTTAGGTTGTTATGTCTAGTAAGACATTTCCTTAATAAAACTTACTTTGGTGTTTTTGCAGAAAAAATGCATCCCAAGCAGGGTATTGTATGTCCTTTTGTAGAGTGGAATGAGTTGATACCATGTACTCTGAAAATACCAAATACAAAACAGATAAGACATGCTGTAACAACTACTTTGCCAACAACAGATTTTAAGAATGCAGTCTGCATTTACAGTAACACTGCCATGGACTTATAGACATACAGTATGCCTACAGGTAGGTTGAGTTCTGGAAATGGTTGTAACAACCTGGGAATTAATAACATTATTTGCAATTCATCTTATAAACTTACTGATTGCTTGACTGCACCTTCTACAGTATGCAATTTAACACTCTCGTGCTGTAATATTCCTACAGCAAAGTTAAGCAGGACTCTTCATTAAAGTGCTTTTTGTTGCACATATGCTCTACAAAAAGATAGGCTTGGTCAGTGATGAGGCCAAATACAGACGAATACAATGGTTTGTAGAGTGTATGGCCAATGCAGACATCCAGCATGGACACAACAGTGACATTAGCTGCAATGCAGCCTGTGATATACAGTACAGTAGAATCATGGGAGTTTCTATCACCATGTCAAGCAGCACAAGCAACACTGTAGCTGGCTTAGAATAAATGCTGTGCTAGCATTTTGCCCATGATCCAAAGTGACCATTACAGTCTTCCCTGTGGACTGTGTAAGTAAGTTCTGTTTCAGTACACATGCCTGCTGCTCTCTGCATCAATAGGAATCCAGCAGATTGAAGGATTTGATTAAAGGAGTTTAGCAGTCTGGTTCAGCAACAAACTGCTGTTTGGGATCATTTGAGTGTTAAAGGTACTCTCTGCTTCCAACAGAATTGCACCCATTATGAGAGGTGAATGCAAAAAATCTCCATGTCTATTTATTCCACATTTAAACAGTTCGGTGATTTAATCTTGTTTTCCATTTGGTTTGTGCAAATGCAAGCTTCTTGTTTAGTGACTACTGTATAGATTAAAGATGTCATGTATATTCTAGATACAACTTCACTCCCTTTGCCTGAGAAAATGATACGCTACTCTACATGTTTTTATTGCAACAGGTACCCTCCAAAAGCACAGAGACCTCAAATAACAGGACACAGTCCAGATTTATTTCAATTAAAAAGTACCTATCCCGACCAATGGTGTTTGTCAACAACCACACCAGTTTGCTTTTGCATCACAAACTCTACTCTTTCACAATGACTCTTGTTGAATATTGTTAGCGCAGTCTATCGGGAGATCTGTTTAACCCCCCTGCCCACTTCATTAACAATATGAGTTATTGTAGACCTGTTTCAAGTCACATTGCATGGAAAGCCACATAAACAGCAACTGAACAATCCCAGTCGTCCTGAGTATTAAGAACACGATGCCTCTGTAGTTTGAATCGCTATCACTGCACAGTGCATTAAGCACAGTGTGGGAGACTGAAGCTTCCAGTGCGCATGGAGCAGGCGAGGAGGGTACCGTTGCGCAATATTATGAGGGAAGCCCCAAGACCAGAATTCCGGTGGCTGGAGCACTCAAGGAGATGAAAGAGCTAGCACTATTTCACACTGTTCTGTCTGGCTTCCCGAACGCTGCTGAAAGAAGCGTTTTATTATTTTTTTCCACCTCAGCGTATACTGTAGATGTACTGTTTCCTTCTTCGACCTTTCTGTTCTTTTTAACAACTGTGTATTAAGCACAATTCTGTGTAGAACGGGGTTTTTTTCTACACTGAACAGAACGCGTTTAATAAATGGAATTGAGAATAGAAAATCACACAATTCTTAATATTCCCTTCCTCCTCCATTATAGCATTTTACTCTACATTAAGCTACAGCCATAAACGCTCTGCACCATCCAGATATTGATGCACAATGCTGTTGTTTTTTTCTTGCAATGATGGTTTACTTATTTCAAAATAAAAACCAAAATTACCACAACAACTCCGCCAAATCTGGGCATCATCCGCACGATTAAGGTTCTATTTAAAATATTTTTGTTGTAACACCAAAGGCAGTTCGCCTACTCTGACATGGAGATCCGAACACCCTTTCTACTTTAACGCGGTGTGAAATGGGACAGCTACATTATCAACACAGAGATAATGCAGGTTATGCCATACATACTGTAGATTTCCATCGACAGGCCATCCACAATAATGCATTTGACATCCTTAAGGCGAAAAAGCGCTAACGTGGGTTTCGATTATTTAAAGCCCAGCAACATTCTCAGGACCTGGCGGCTGATGCCGGTCAGAGCCAGGAATCACAATTAAATAGTAACCAACCACTTTATTGTTCGTTTTGCACTGTTTTGACTAATAATATGAGTACTATCCCGTTAGAATGCCATCACAATACAATAAAAAAAATACGTGGAAGCGATTAAGATGCCAGATGCATCTTTATTTTCAAAATTCTGGTACTCTTTCTATTTGCACCGTCCCTTTCTCTATTTTACCCGTAATAATGCAAACTATTGTGAGTAAAATCCTTAAAAATACGTTTTTAAGTCTGACCTATGAAACAGTCCAGCGCAGGGTCTCTGGGACAAAAGAGATGCACGGCCAAACGCCCCGGCACCGCTTCACATCCCCGGTGAACCGCTCTCTGGCTCCGCTCTCTGAATGAAAATTGACACATTGGATTTCACTGCAGTAACAGCACATGCTCACTCTCTAGCAACACAGACCTTGCTCCGCTTTAACCGTTTCTGTCCCGGTCAGAAAAGGACCTCACTCACGGTTCCGAAACCGTTGTCACCTTTCATGATGGGGGGGGGGGATAAACGAAAATAGGAATTTTTCGAAACAACAAGCACAATAATAAATACAACAACCAACGTCCTGAACCGTACTTGACATATTATGGTAAAACGGATCTTTTCTCCTTCGCAGTGTCAAAATGCATGCCTTTTCAATGCTCTGAGCAGAATTTCTATTCGCAGGAAAAACCGTCACAATGATTATTTTTAAATTAAATAGTTTGGTAACAGTAACATGAACAATTATATTTATATACAGAAAAGTATATATAGAGAGATCACGCTCTAGACTGAACAATAGCAATTTGGACTCAACTACAAACACCTGTTTTTATTACGAAGTGCTATGTTTGAAAAATGTACAGTACGTTACGGGTCACAACTGATCCACCTTATGGTGTGGTAGCTTAATATGGAATAAACACTAGGGACAAAGTAGCAGAATTTGTATTCTGTATGAGTTTAACTTCTTAAGAACCATTAAGACTTCACTTCCTAGCACGCTCACATACCCGTAGCATGCTTATTGAACTGATCACATTCTGAACAATAAATGTGTTCCCAAAAGCAAAATTGATTAGTGTCAACTCGTGAGGCAGTGTCTGAATACAGATAAATGCAATGTGGGCAATGACATCCTCTACACCAATTTTAACACAGCCCAATGAACAAAAATATGAGAACTGGAATGAAATCACCCCAGAGCCTCAGAGCAATCTTTGCATTCTTAAGAAAATCACATTGCTGCTAGAAATGGCGTTGGTGGACCAGTAGGTGGCTCTCTAACCCCCCCTGGGAACAGAAATTCTGTCTGCGCCAGTATCCCTGAATGCTGGAAAAAACATAGAGCTGTAGAGCATGTTGTCTTACACTGTCTTTTTCTGTAACAATCTGTACTATCAACTTCAAACTGTGGTGTAGTGGCAGTTCTATGGAGGTATGAGAAAGAAACACGATTACCCATTTACAGAGCTGAAAACTCTCATACAGCCCCCCTTAAAAAGTTTGAGGTGTCAAACTACCATGAACTGTTGTGAACAATTATTTGTATTTTAAAGTTATACCTACCCAATTCAGTGGTACTAATCGCTTCTTAATTTCTTGATTCCTGGACAACACAGGACAATGAGTTAGGACAGACTCCTTCCACTTGTGTGCTGACAGCTCCACAGCGCCTGGCAGGAGAGTTAACTCTGATTGATGCCATGGCGTGTCCCTCACTGCTGTCACTGAACACGGCCAACTGTAGGAGATCTGGTTTGAGGGTTAGCCGAGAGAAAACCCTAATGGACTCATTCTAAACAGCTCTGTCACTGTTGGACATGTTCCTGATGTTTAGAGTGAATGAATCTTTGCTGGCTGAGAAACTCTAGTAGCAGATGTCAGATTTTGGAAGATTAAAGATGGTGTCAAGTGAAATGTAAGGAATTCTCTCTCATGCAAACAAAAACTGAAAATAACTGCTGTATAAAAGCAACAATCTCTTTATTCAATGTCACAAATTCCCTAACAACAGAATTTGATGCAAGTGTCACGCCCGACATCCCTCCCTAGAGGGCGCTCCACTGCTCCCATTATTGTCCGTGTGATTAAGCTCCGCAGGTGTACCCTTTTAGCGTTATTACTTAAAGACCAGCTCCTTCAGTCCTCGGGGCTCATCATTGGGGTAAGATGTCGCGAGGTCCGCCTATCACCAAGGAACCCTGCGGCCGTCTCCTGAGGGCATAGGCCTCATCCCCGACACCTCCTGCTTTCTGAGCCCTGGGTCTGGAGGATCTCGCCCCGTCACCCTTGGACCTCCATGTTTTGTTTGTCCGTGTGCTCCCCCTCCCGGGGATTTTAACTTTGTCGTGTCCCAGGATGGATTCCTTGTTGATGGACCCTCGGACTGTGTTTTGACCTGCCCTTGGACCTGTTTTGATTTGGATGCCGTTTTGTCTTCCTCGTACACTGTCTCACGGACTGTCACTATTATTTTGTGCACTATTTAACCCTTGTGTGTTCCCTTTTACCATGCCTCCTGTTTTCTCCAGCTCTTACCGCATCGCATAGGGTCTTCTACAAGATCTTACACGGATTTCAGTCCGTGCTTGTGACAGCAAGCTAATATTTGCATAAAACTCTGTTCTTATAAGTGCCTATTACATCACTTCACCTTAAATATTAATAATATGTCAGGACCTTCTTTATTTCTGAAATTCATAAAGTCATGAAAGTTCTTCTTTAGGATTGGAGTAGTATTAAATGGTATTGGTGACGTTCACAAAGACCTGCTAACAGGTCAGTGTTACACCATGCTCACAGTGTTCACACGTGGAGTCCCTGTGCCATGAGCTGTCCCAGCAACCTGGATTATCATTTTGGTAACTCAAGTTTATTACAGTATAAACCCTGATCTGCCTGTGGTCCTGAAACATAATGCTTGGTGGTCGTAACACTTGTACCCATGTGCTTTGGCCAAAATAAAGCAAAACTGACGTATTTCAGAACAGTAGTAGTTAAGGCCTGAACACGACTACAAATGTATAGAAAAACATGTCGGGTGGAGAAGACAAAAGATGTATGAAGGCTCAGAGAGGTGGTATCATATTTAATTTTTCAGAGAGCACTATCCATCAGTCCGATGCCTCCCTGTACAGGGCCTTGCGTAAGTATTCAGACCTTTGCAGTTCTCCCAATAAAGCCTGCCGTTCTGACATTTTAAAGAAACAATTAACATTACAACTTACCACACACATGCAAAGCAAAAACCAACAAAGTAATTATGATGAAAAATTGAAATAATGAGTGCATACAGTACATATTAAAATCCTTTCTTGGAACAAAACTATTCATTTAGGAGCACAAAAATGCCTTAACTACTAATTACAGTCCACAAAGAGTTGAATGGCCTGAATGTGTGCAATAAAAGTGGTTCACATGACTTTACAAATAAATGCACCACTCCCTCAGTCAGGTAGTAAATCTCATGCAAAACCGAATCCTTCCTTCGTCAACTCTGAAGACAAAGGAACTTTCAAAACAACTCTGGAATAAAGTTCTATTAAGGCATAAATCAGAAGGTTATAAAATAAGACCCTTTATATCTCTTTGAGGGTAATGAAGTTGATCATTAAGTAAGGGCAAACTGACACTACATGGAACAGGCTTACCATTCAAACTGCAATGAGGCCAAGCAATGAGGAAACTGATTAGAGATGCCACAGTGAAGCCAGTGGTGAAAGAGTTACTGTACAGGGTCATTCCACAAAATCCAAGTCAGTCCACAAATGGAACTGGAAAAACATCTCAAATCCCAGATAGGGTACGGAACAGAGCACACTCAACACCATCCCCACTGTAAAACACGGTTGTGGTAGCAATATGTTCTAGTTCCGTTTCTCATCAGCAAGGACTGGGAAGCTTGTCAAGACTGATGGGAACATAGATGGAGCAAAGTTCCAGCAAATCTTAGAGGAAAACATGTTTCAGACCCAAAACTGGGATATAAATTCACCTTTCAGCACAACAATCAATGACTTAAAGCAACACTGGAGTGCTTGAGAGGCCCAGTCAAAGTCCTGTCTTGAACCTTATTGAAAATCTGTGGAAAGAAAGTTGTGTAGAACTTATCCCCTGGCAACCTAAGAGAGTTTAAACAAAACTCCCGGTGAAAACTGCACCAAGCCAGTGTGCAAAGTTGGTAGAAACCTAAAAAAGACTCGAGGCAATAATTGTCGTAAAAGGAGTTGGCGACAGATATTGAGTTCATGGGTTTGAATACTTACACATGCAGCCTACATATTTTTGGTTTTGCTGGCATTTATTGTAACATATTCTACTCTTAGAAATCTCCAGTTTGAACATTCAGGTTTTGAATAAAAAGTATAAAAAAGTGCCATTTTGCAATTGCATAAAATGGGACAATGTAACACATTCCCATTGGCTCGTAGCACAGCAGTGGAAATCTACACCAAAACTGTTATTAAAGGAGTTAGACCACCAATGGTCCACCCCGATCCTGATGTCCTGAGGCTTTCCCAACCTGATGCGAGTCCAAAGGAAGGCACACCTCATCCTGCCTTTAAACCGACAGGAACGGTGGAAATCACCCTCACTTTAGTAATGCTTTTTTCACAGCAAATTATAATACCAGATTTTATAAACTGACAAGTAAAAACAGTTGGACATGGACAACGATGATGTAAAATGCTGATATGAGCAAGTCACTGAGAATCTCCTGTAACAACAGTGCAGCCAGAAACAGCACCGCAATGAGTCACTGTGGATGGTGAAGTGTGATTTCAATCAGCAAAAGTAATATAGAGACAGGTTCAAACCACAAGCAGTCGGTCATATTTTAGCCTACACATGATAATCACCGGGCACAGTGATAGCAACAGGCAGTAGTACCTGCTACTTGAGATTTTAGGCTGTAGTACTTGTATGGATATTTCAAATAGTAAAAAATTCAGCAATAAATGAGTGATCACGTTTCACTTGATGCAAGTCAAATTCCACTGCCATCTCCTTACTGTGCCAATATTAATCTTAGTGATGCGGCCCAGTGTAAAAAAAAAACATGTTTTTGCACATAGCGCAAGCACTGATCCCATTTTGGCTTGCTGGCTGGGGTAATTTTCAAAATGTGTTCTTGCACTCACCTCCAGTATGAAGCAAAACTGGTGTCAGACACTTAAGGGGCAGCGTGGGATAGTGGGCAGTGTTGTTGAAATATTGCTAGAGGGCCATGATCTCTGCACTGTTGGATCCTTGAGTACTTCACAGCAATTGTTTTAGTAATCAGTTTTAAAGGATACCAACAACGCTGGAGAAGACAGCCTACAATGGAATTCAAATCCCATCTAAGCGGAGCCCTGTACTATAGGCTTATGCTATACCACAGAATCAAGGACAAGCTCCAGCCCCACAAATCTTATGAAGTGACTTGAACTCTTTAAGTTTAGCATGTCCCCACTCTTTTTACACCTTTCCCAGTCATACACCTCACAGTGTTACCTTAGGTGTAAAGCACATTCAGAGAGTGTGATAATTTCAAGAAAGGGTAAGATTAAGATTTAAACATACAGTATTGTACTTGGCAAAACAGCAAAGTTTACCCAGCTTAAAGCTGCAGGCTTTAAATGGTCATGGCCATAGATGGGTTAACAAACTCACCTGAATGCCAAACCTTAAAGGGAAGAGATAAAGGACTTTATGACATCTGCAAAACAGCCCTGAACAAGAATTAAGACCGCATCACATAAAGGATGTGTAATGTAAAAAGAAAAATGCAAATCCTTGCACAATATTCATTACAACATCACTGAGCTCTAGTTGCTGGAATATTTAATGACAAAGTAAAAAAAAAACAGATTTGTTTGATGCAAGCCAGAATTTGAGATTGTTTTTGATACCAAGACAATGTAATTTGTGCAATTCGGCAGGAGAAGACACCACACACACAGACGTCCAAGTACTGAAACCCAAGTTAAACTTAACAGTGGTTTCCTTCGTTTAGAGTGACATAAAAATCACTCCAATTCCAAAATTAGGTCCAGTTTCCAATTCAAAATGCAATCAATTTGGAGAAAGTGGCTAAAACTGATTAAAAACACATTTGTACAGTATCTAAAGTGTGCATTTGCCTAAATAATCCTATTCTTTCTGCACTTATTGTTTACCGTATAATAAAAGTGGCAACATATTCACTTCAGATTACTACTGTAAACAGACGGATCAAATGTGAAAATGGCATCTGGTGTACTGTATTGGCATCTTATGTCTGTTAGATTAATCTCACAGAAGTATTTTTAGTACTGAAACATTTTCAGCATGATTAAATATTTTAGCAAAAAAAAGACTTCTTAAATATCACATTATATTTAAGCTATACTGTCACATGTGTGGGGTATATATTTTGTACATACTTTATTTCTGGGGAATATGTATGGTACATACCTTGTGTATATATATACTGTATGTGGTGTCACAATGCCACATTGCTGTGTTTAGGTCAATTCAATTTAATGCTTGGTGTTGTGCCCAAGTAATACGATGTCTTTGCAGAGATTGCTCAGTTTGATTAAGGCACACGTTTCAAGTGTATTTACTCTTCTTTAAAATATATATGATAAATGGCTCTAGAACCAGTGTTTAAGCCATGA